AAGGCTCCAGGCCTGCGGATCCTCTATCCAGACCACGTCCAGAAGAACCTCTCCCACAAGGTGCGCCACGGTGGAAGATGAAGCTTGCCCCTCGACTCGCTCGACTCGCGTGCGACTCTGAAGGTGGGGAAGTCTGTGAATAGCTACAACAAGCCCTTCGAGAACCCCGAGCAGCAGAATGCCCAGGCGAGGTTTCCGGGCAAAACCGACCGCCTTTGGGCCAGGCTCCGGCCCAAATATTGAGCCTGTCCACCAAACAATATTTGGGCAGGTCTTCTGGATGACGCCAACATGAAAGCTGGGCCCAAATAGAAGTGCACCTACAACGAAAAGTACGACTTGGACGCAGAAGCCGACTACATGGACGAAGCTTCCAGGCTATTGGCGAACACGCGTTCGAACATCTCGCTCGTTTGCTTCGCCGCGGCATCGTCAACATCCACCGAAGGCGAGACTGGCGGCTTACTGCGCTATGCCCGACTGAGGGTTGACTGGCGTGCACGGGGCGGCTTGACATCCACCTATTGGGAAGGGCCTGCGCCCGCTCGCGGCCACGTGGCCGCGGGGCTTCACAGCGCACCAGCAGGTCTATGTACTGGATGCTGTCTCCAAGGGCCACGACAGGGACCGGGCCGAATACTGCATCGAACGAGGTATTGATCACGGCGGCTGGAGTGGGCGTTTTCAACTTAGATCGGCTGAAAGATTTTGAGAAAGCACGTTCGACCCATCAAGCATTTACAGATACGTCTTCCTGGATCACATCGATAACGAGAGCCTCCACGCTCCCATGGTGCATGTTACCTCACAGCGGGCCCACTTGGTTATTTTCCACGGTCGTGCCAGAGGTCTCTCACGTCGCGGGCGCGACAGCGACCGCGGCGCCAGAGGCCGCCAAATGACCCATGCAGTGCAACGCCAGCATGTCCGCAGCAAAATCAAATTCGGCAGCAGGTCGTCACCCCGCAGTGCCATTTTCATCAGCTTGAGACGCTCAAGAACGGCGCCAACGCATTCCGTTTCAAGAACGGACCAGTGCGATCGTCTGGCTTTGTCTGTCCGGCTAGGTTCCGAAGTGCTTCCGGTTCGGTTTGATTCGGTTCGTTGTCGTAAACCTTCCGGTTTGGTTCGGTTCGGTTCGTCATTTGTTCCCAAACAATTTGTGTTGTTGGGTCCTCGTTTTGAAGAGACGGTCCCCGCGTTCTCCTCTCCTCTCCTCTCCTCCTCCCCCTCCTCCCTCCTCCTCCCTCCTCCCCCTCTTCCCTGGGCTTCACCCACCCAATGCAGCGCTTCGTAGCCCCATAGGGAGCTCCACCGAAGGCCCCAGTGCCACCGTCCACATGCGCCCCCCCGCCTCAGTACAGCGCTTCGTGGCCCCATAGGGAGCTCCACCGAAGGCCCCAGCGCCACCGTCCACATGCGCCCCCCTCACTCAGTACAGCGTTTCGCGGCCCCATAGGGAGCTCCCCACCGACGGCCCCAGTGCCACCGTCCACATGCGCCCCCCCCACTCAATACAGCGCTTCGTTGCCCCATAGGGAGCTCCACCGAAGGCCCCAGTGCCACCGTCCACATGCGCCCCCCCCCACTCAGTACAGCGCGTCGTGGCACATAGGGGGCTCCACCGAAGGCCCCAGTGCCACCGTCCACATGCGCCCCCACTCCAGGTTTCTTGGCCCCATGGGCCACCGAAGGCCCCAGTGCCACCGTCCACATGCGCCCCCCCACTCAGTACAGCGCGTCGTGGCCCCATAGCTCCACCGAAGGCCCCAGTGCCACCGTCCACATGCGCCCCCCCAGTCAGTACAGCGCTTCGTGGCCCCATAGGGAGCTCCCCACCGAAGGCCCCAATGGCACCGTCCACATGCGCCCCCCACACTCAGTACAGCGCTTCGTGGCCCCAAGGGAGCTCCACCGAAGGCCCCAGTGCCACCGTCCACATGCGTCCACCCCACTCAGTAGACCGCTTCGTGGCCCCATATGGAACTCCACCGAAGGCCCCAGTGCCACCGTCCACATGCGTCCACCCCACTCAGTACAGCGTTTCGTGGCCCCCTAGGGAACCCCACCGAAGGTCACAGTGCTACCGTCCACATGCGCCCCCCCCATTCAGTACACCGCTTCGTGGCCCCATGGGGAGCTCCACCGAAGGCCCCAGTGCCACCGTCCGCATGCGTCCCCCCCCCACCCAGTACAGCGCTTCGTGGTCCCATAGGGAGTTCCACCGAGAAAGCCCCAGTGCCACCGTCCACATGCGTCCCCCCCACTCAGTGCATCGCTTCGTGGCCCCATAGGGAGCCCCACCGAAGGTCACAGTGCTACCGTCCACATGCGCCCCCCCCACTCAGTACAGCGCTTCGTGGCCACATAGGGAGCTCCACCGAAGCCCCCAGTCGGACCGTCCGAGTGCGTCTTGAAACACCCAATTTGGCATTTTCGCCCGCCCACTACAGCGTTTCGTGGCCCCATAGGGAGCTCCACCGAAGGCCCCAGTGCCACCGTCCGCATGCGTCCCGCATACCCAATGTGGCGTTTTTGACCACCCAGTGCAGCGACTCGTGGCCCCACAGGGAGCTCCACCGAAGGCCCCAGTGGGATTGTCCGCAAGCGTCCCGAAACACCCATTGTAGCATTTTCACACACCCAGTCCGGAATTTCGTGGCCCCGTAGGGAACTCCACCGAAGGCCTCAGTGCCACCGTCCGCATGCGTCCCGAAAATCCTACGTGGCATTTGTACCTACCCAACACAACGTTTCGTAGCCCCTTAGTGAGCTCCACCGAAGCCCCCAGTGGGACCGTCCGCATGCGTCCCGGAAGCCCAATTTTCACCCACCCAGTACAGCGCTTCGCGGCCCCATAGGGAGTTCCACCGAAGCCTCCAATGGGACCGTTCCCATGCGCCCCGGATGCCCAGCTTGGCACTTTCATTTACCCAGTACAGCGCTTCGTGGCCCCATAGGGAGCTCCACCGACCCCAGTTGGACCGTCCGAGTGCGTCCCGGAAACCTTTCTTGACACACCACTCACCCAGAACAGCGCTCCCCCCACCCAGTGCAGCGCTTCGTGGCCCCATAGGGGGTTTCACCGAAGAAGGTGTTCACAATTGCGGTACCCACAAGTGCATATGGTTGGGTCCTTCGCATGGATAAATTGGTTTTGGTTAGGTATGGTTTTTGTTTTGGTTCGTTTCGGTTCTTGTTTCTGACAGATCCCTCGGTGGACCGCCCAGCGCGTTTTGTCTCCGTCGAGGGGTCACTGGGGTCACGGGGGTTGAGGCTCCCGGGGGCGTCGGGGAGCTGAAGTGTGAGGGTTCGGCGGCCTGTCGGTGAACTGGATTGGCCCCGCGTGGCCTGGGCGGTTTTCTTTGGAAAAGTATGGGGGAAACACCCGACGCATTCGTTTGCGGTCGTTGCGGCCCTCGCACCCGCGCGCGGTCGTCGCGCCCGTTTGAGTTGCAAAGCCCCGCTGGGCAAGTTTCGGCCCAAACGACAACGCGCTTGGGAATAGTGAAAGCGAGGCGGAGAATGAGGAGGGCTCAAACATTGGAGCGGTGGCGGGCCGCGCCAGGAAAGCCACGCGATGCCTCCCAAGAGGGCCCCGAAAGAGACCGCCCCAGCGGAATGTGCACGGAGGCCCCGCGGGTCGGGGGCGTCCTGGGCAAGCCCTCTCGGGGCCTCCAGGCGGCATTCTTGGGGCCGCGTGGGGGCCATCTTGGAGAGGGCGCAAAAAGGGCCTCATTGGTTGCATGGCGTTTCTTGCAGGGGACGCAGCGCCGTCGCCCGATCGAATCAAAAACGCTTTCGCGACAAATGCGGTGTGATTCGCAACCCTATCCCCCGCCCCGCCCCCTGGGGGAGATCGCGCTTCGGGGGCCCTCCTGGAGTCCAGTGGAACCTTCCTGGGGCGTTGGAACTTTGGGGGCGGGGCTCTCTTGGGGCTTGAAAACTCGATCAGGCCTTGTGGACTGCGAAGCGTCAATTTTGAATACTCGATCTGCCCCCCCCCCGCCCCTCCCCCGCCCGCGCGCCCCCCCCCCGCCCCCCCCCCCCGAAACGGGACCAGGAGGTCCGTCGTCGCAATCGCCGCGGGCTCCAAGATGGCCCAAGAAGGCAACGATCCCATGGCTATCAACAGAGAAGGCGTTCGCTTAAATACCTGGTGCCCCCCGCGTGCTCTTCAACCATACGGCACCCTAAACCAGACATTATTTGTTGTAGGCCTGGTCTAACGCACGTTTAACCTTACCCCAGGCGTGCAACAGGCGAAGCCTAACAAGATATGTTCAAACGCTCTCGGTGGGGAGACGTTTGACCAAGCAGTGCAGAGATAGAGACATCGCCGCCCTTGCCTCCACTACCACATTCGCCAGCAACGTCGCCCTCCGTGTGATGATGATGATGATGATGATGATGATGATGATGATGATGATGATGATGATGCTGCTGACGATGATGATGATGACGATGATGTGTATGATGATGAAGATGATGATGATGATGGTGATGATGATGATGGTGATGGTGATTGGGGTAATGATGATGGTGATGATGAGGATGACGAGTGTGAGAATGGTGATGGTGAAGGTGATGGTCATGATGGTTGTAATGATGACGATGAAGGTGATGGTGGTGTGTGATGGTGATGACGAGGATGGTGACGATGACGAGGGTGATGATGGACATGATGAAGGTGATGAGGATGATGATGGTAATGATGATGATGCTGATGGCGATGGCATGGTGGTGGTGACGGTGATGATGCTGCTGAAGGTGATGTTGTTTTTTGTGATGATCCTGGCGGCGACCCCGCGCTATCATGATGATGGGCATGATTGGGTGTGCAATGATGCTGTGTCTTCATGTCTGTCGCCACTGGTCAGCCAGTGGCGGCGATCCCAGCTGTGCGCAGGGCCTCGGCGATGCGGCCTGCACAGCGAAGCCATTGAACTCCAGAGCCTCACAACGGAACACTGAGCACCAAAACGCAGCGGTAACCATCCTCATTCGAAATACGCCCTGATCGGCGCCACCATTTCAGCCCACGTCTTTGTGTTGCTCATCTTTACAATGGCATTCTCGAACAAAGCCTTGATCTCGGCGTAGCCCTTCTCGCTGAGGGTCGCCTTCGCAGGCGTGAAGGCTGGGAACAGAACTGTGACCGATGTGTCAGCAGGCTCATCCCGCTGCGGCGTGGCGAGCAGCAGCGGCACGCAGCCGACTGGGATGTGCAGCACGTTGGCCTCGCGCAGTTCGAAGCCGAATAGCTTCGAGGCGCCCTCCTTCGACTGGAATGTCTCGCTGAAATCAGCAGCGCTGAGAAACTGGATGATGGACGTCAATGATGGGCAGCCAGCCTCTACGATCAGGTCAATGTGGATGCACCGCACGAAGAACTTGGAGACGTAGCCGATCAACCACGAGCCGACACCAGGTGTCGGGAATGCCCGGCAATCGAACCGCATCGTCATGTGATCCTGCGCAATCATAAACGGGTTCTTGCCCAGTTCGGCGCAAGCCTCGAAGGGCTTGAACTGCTCCAAGCCGCCGTCGTCGAACTCCAAAACAGCGGTGAAATTGAGCATGACCTGGACGGAGGAGATAGGGGGGTTGCCAGCATTCTTGGCGACGGCGTTGGAGCCCTTCTTCGCGATCCTGTCAGCGTTCTGTTTGAACAGCCCGTGGAACATCTTCTCTACGGGATTGCCGTTCGGCCCCATAGTGAACATCGTGGGGGTCGAGAGCACGACAGCAGGGATCCCCGTCGTCGCCTCGTCGCTCTGCTTGCCGCTCTCCTCCCGCGGGGGGATAGGCGGGCGATTGAGCGAGGGCGGCGGGGGAGGAGGAGTCGGCGGGGCAGGAGGGGGGGGGAGGGCGAAGCACGAGACAAAGATGCCTTCGGGCAGATGGTCGGGGAGTTCGTCGACGCCCTTTGGCCATCCACTTCGCGAGGTTCTTCTCCACCCCGTTGCCCGCCAACGCGTCCTGGATCTGCTTGCGGCGGTTGTGGGCCGCCTTCCTGGCCTTCGCCTTCACCGCGCCCACTTGCGCCTTCAGGTCCTGCAGCGAATTGCGCGCCTCGATGACTGCATCCTCCTTGTCGCAAAGACCGCGCGCGAGCGCGATGAGCTCCGTTGGCTTCGCCTCGGTCTCTGCCCCCATCTGCCGCTTACCGATGGCATCGATCGTTGTCCTGGCCTTCCTGATGTCATGTGCCGAGGCGCGCCGAGCCCCCAGGCGATTGCACGTCCCCGCCTCAGGGTTGCCCTCCATACCCCTTGGACTTCGTCAGGCTTGGTGAAGTAACCTCGGCGGATGGACGCGGTCATCTTCGCGTCCTTCTCGAGCTCGCCCGCGAAAACCTTGCGACGCTGCGAGAAGACAGACATGGGGAGCTTGCCTGTCAAATCCGCGCAGTCGACGAGATAGCTGGACTTCTTGCGCTGGCAGTGCGGAGGGACTGATGACTTGGCGCTGAACTTCTCATCGTCAGATCCGCCATTCGCGGACTCTGCCGCCGCGCCATGCCGCCCCATCTGCAAGGCGGCGGCGCCCAACGAGGGAGCATCGGAGCCGTTGGAGCTCGGGCCCGTCGGGGTCTCCTCTCTGAGGCGCTGGCGCATCGCTGGTGGCAGCGGCGAAGGCGGCGGCGTCGGCATCGACGCAGCGTCGGCCGCGCCCCGTGGAAGGCCCAAGCGAAACATCACGCGGAGGAGGGCCATCGCTCTTCCCCCGCTCTCCTCGCCACCCCGAGCCCTCTACTCAACCCCCAGCCTCCTTCCCGCGTCCTCCAACCCGCCTTCCGCCCCCCCCCCCCCCCCCCCCTACCCCTTCCCCCATCCTCGGCCGATCTGGCTGGGGGGGTCGGGGGAAGTAGAGCGGGGCAAGGAGGGCGAAGACTCACGTTTCATACAGAGGAGTCCTGATCCACCGCAGCGGCGAGGCCGCGGGCTGGTCACCCTGCAGTCGCCGTCCTGGCGCCGCTAGCGCCGCTGCCCGACGACGCCCCGACCCTCGGGGCGTCGCCCCCGACACCTGCGAAGATGCAGTCGGTGAACTTGGCAGCGTCGGCCCCGCCAGTCGCTGCCCTCGTGGAGTCCGTCGGCACCCTGTCACTATTGACCTTCTGGCCCTCCGTCTTCTTGCTGACGCCTTGCTTGGAAGTAGTATCAACTGGCCTCGCGACTGCGATCGGAGTTTCCGCGTCTTGGCCGGCCTCGTTCTCCTTATAGACGTCGGGGTTGGCCAAGTCGATCGATTTTAGCATCTGCCTGCTCTGCCGTCCATGTTTCCCGCCGGCGCACGCGGTCGCGAAAGTCACACCTGTCCATCATGTCACACCCTGCTCTCGGTTGACCTCTTGCCTGGTCTGGATGGCCTCGATCTATCTCCAGACGCTCTCTCGAGCATGCCTATCGCGGCGCTTGTCTCGATCGGTGGCCATGCTCTGCGCCAGCCCAGAGAACTTCTTCGGATGGGCCTCCGTGCGCGCCGCGAGCTCCTTCTTCGCGTCGTCGTTGTTCCTGCCGAGGCGCCGCAAAGCTCGGGGCCCGTTGAATCACTTGGCGCGGGCGCGCCTGCGCCCGAAGCAGGACTGCGAGGACAGATGGCCCATGGCAATGTGTGTAGAGCACAGCTCGCACGTCTTCTGGTCGTCGACGGCTTTGGCGCCATCGAGCGCGGCCAAGGCGCGGCTCAGCACCTCGCCCGCTGGTTCGCCACTCATGGCGCTGCTGCTCAAATCGAGCGGGATGGTCCCTAACGAAGCCGCGACCTCGAGCCGCCATGGCTACGGCGCCAGCTGATCGCCGCCCCCTGGGCGACCGACGGGCCCGGATGCGGGGTGATGCTTGGGGCTGGGATGGGGCGGGGGGCAGCGCGCCATGCGAACCCTCGAGCCGTCTTATTGACTTAAACTGAAGTCTAGAGCCTGTTTGGATGTAAAGAAGACCCCCCCCAGGGCCATGGCTGCGGCCGCGCGTTCCCTGAGAGGTCACGGGCCATGGCCCAATCCAAGAAGGCCCCCTCAAGCTGTCACGGCCACGGTCACAGACCGACTGCGGGCGTTGCAGGCTTCGACCCAATTCAGGGGAGACCCCTCAAGGGTCACGGCCATTTGTCACAGACCCTCATCAGGGGCCACGGGTTTCTTTTCAAAAAAGCGCCGCGGCCCCTTCACGCTGCGACGAGGACGGGGCGACGGCGGCATATGACGGGGCACGGCGATGTGGATGACGCCGATGGGAGAAGGAGGACACCAATGGTTTGCCCTCGGCCCTCGCAAGAGAAACTTCAGTCCTTCGCCTGATCTGCGCCTGCGCGGCAACAACGGGCTGCGCTCGCACGAGCGCCGAACGGCGCGGAGGAAGCGGCTGACTGGAGGAGGGCAAGGGAAACGGGTGCATGGAGCTTCCCCCCGCCGCGCCTGCTCAGCGCCACGCCTGCTCAGCCGCGCGGGAAGAGCTGCCCCGCGCACCGCCTGCTCAAGAGTCCTCCTCCTCGTGGCCCGAGCTAGCCTCATGATCGACGATGGTTTGATCCTTGTGATAGTCCGCCGTGGCCACGCACATTTCCTTTGCCTCCGCGGTGTCCCTAACGCTGGTGAGCGCATGTCTGAGAACCGTGGTCCTGCGCGCCTGCGCGCGCTGAGCTAATTGCGCCGCGCGAAGCTCCCCGTGCAGCTTTTCCTCTTCCTCCTCAGAACATGCCTCATTCTGCGGACGAAAAGGGGGCTTTGCGCCATCGCTGCACTCTGGGGGCAACGTTCCCGGGGGGGGCGAAGGCACGAACAACGCCTTGAACCAAGCGCGCAACGGGGGCCCGTGGAAGCCCGCGAGGAGAAGCTCAAATCACGATACCCAATGCATGACGTCCGTCAGCACACAGTAAGTAGGGGCCCCGAGAAGCCACCCGAAGCCCTATGGGGCTGATCAGAGCCAGCGGAAGCGCGCGAGGGCCCACCTGTGCACCCAGGCCCGTCGGGCTCCATCGACGCCCATGGCAGCGCGAGCTGTGGATGGTGAGTTGGCATGCAAGCACTTGCGCCAACAGGTGCGTCATAGTTTTTTGGGAACAGAGTCTTAGTGCATGCACCTCCAACAACATGTCATATGAACTGGCGTGCACCGTCTGTGCACTTGTGTGAACTGGACGTGAACTGGCGCGCGCTGGACGTGAACTGGCGTGCATTGGACGTGATCTGAGCGAACTGGACTGGACTGGACTGGAAAGAGGTGAACTGGACTGACAGTTGATACTTTTTTCACTGGTATTCATCCGAGAACCTATTTTGGCCAAGGCGTGTCAACGCAGCTACTTGAACCCTTGATCTGTAATGGTGAAATGGCAATAACGATGGCGATGGCGATTTTGATTCAGTCAGGTACCTTCTCCGAGGTGGCCGTTCTCGCGGAGCCAATCTTTCTGCGCATCGAGTGGCACTTCTCGTTTCCCCATGTTCTCCCCTTTGGGTGTGCCAGACGCTGCGCCGCGCCTGACCCAGGCGACCAAACATGCAATGGGCTCGTACAGCCCATATCGCGCCTTCTGTGCCACCTCAGAATTCCTTTTCCTCAAGCATCCTGCCTGATGCGGGCATGTAATGTGGTGGCGTGCATGACCGAACTGTGCCCTCTCATCTGTGTATCTGAACTTGCAATCGCGGCCTCCTTCGATGGCTATGGGTAGTGGGATGCCTTCATCGCCAAACCTCATCGCAGGTTCGCCCACGATCTCATCTTCATTGGCGTCCTCAAGGGCAGCTGGAGGCCCAGGGGATCCCTGGGAAGGCTCGTCGACGTCCGACGGCGCGTCGACCGATGCCGATGGGCCGCGCGGTGGGTCAGGAGGCAGGCCAAGTGGCGGCGCATCCATCATCGCGTCATCATCCGAGGACAAATCAACGACATGTAATGGGGCAGGCGCGGGGGCACCACTCTCGATTTGACGCATCGCCGCCCCGCCCTTTCCTCCCAATTCGCGTTTGTAAGTGGCATTACCGAGGCCTTCGGCAACGATGCGGCCGTCCAGCAAGCACATATATTGCGATTGCGGCTGATCCCCCTCTGAGTTGGACAACCCCCTCTACCGAACAATTCTTCAAGGCAAAGTACGCATTGCAGACGTGTTCGCTCGATTGTTATGTTTTGCCATTTGAAAAGCTTTTTAGCTACGCCCCCCCTGCCATGGTGAAACGTGTCAGATGTATGGCCTCAGCCCCGATGTTGAAGTTCCCTGGGCAGCACGAGGATTGGAACATCTGCCGCATCCAAAGTCTGCGGCGGGACGGCGAGCTCTGGGCGGGAGATGCCCATGCAGCCCGCTGTGCCCGAGCGCGCCTGCCTCTTCCATCGAGCGCATTCTCTTTCCAGCTTTCCCCGCGATGTTAAACGCAATAAGTCCACTTCGGCGCAGCCCCCTTTGGGATCAACAGTCCACGTCTCGCCATCCTGCCCCCAGATGTCGAACCGCTGAGCAATCACTTGCATCCCGAGAGTCTTCGTAGAGCGTGCTGGAACTATAACCTTGGTTATCTGGAAGACATGCCCCGCGCTGCCACCAGCTGTTGGGAACGATGTCACATCACCCGGTTCGATAGCATTGAACAGGTAATCTTGCTTGAGCTTTTCAAGAACGGTCGGCGCGGGCCTGCGATCCTCGATCGGGACGGGCGGCTTCTCGGGGCCCCCGCGCCGAGCGCGCAGGGGCCAGTCCGCCGCGCTGCGTGGCCCGACCTTGTAAATGCGGTTCAGCGCGTCAGAAAATTTCGAGTGCACCCGTCCCCGCTGCCGCCTGCCTTAGGCCGCGGCGGGCGGATGAGTTTTTTGTTTTGGTGGCCATGCGGCAGATAGCTTTGGGCACCTTAAGTTGTGGGAGCTTTTTGTAGAAAGCGTGGAAGAACGCTTTTGGCATCTTAAGTCGGGGGAAGGGCCCCCCCCCCCCGAGACGCCTGGGGAAAGCATGGAAATTGGGGAACGCTGACCCAGAAATTTTAAACACTTGAGGCTCTCTCAAGGATGGCCTTTGAGCATCGAACCAGAGTGAACGCTAAACTCTAGATGGCGAACTTCATGCTTGAGAGAGGGGCGGCATGGATGAGACGGAAACAGTTGTGTCCAGCCGCGAGGCCTTCTCGACACTGCAATATGCGACTGCAGTTCCGGTCCTCAAACTTAAAGGCGTCCTCGCCGCCATCGAAAGTCAGGAAGTACTCCACCAAGGCAGTGTTCTGTTTCAGGCGGGATGTGGCGAATGGCCCAGACAGCGTAGACGTCGCCGCTCTGGCCTTGCTCAGCCTGAAAGATCTATGCCAACCCTCCGCCTCTGAGGACGCCAGCCGAAACTTCTCCATGAGCTCGCGCGCGCCCACTTCATGTCAGGCGGGATGTTGTCGACGCTGCCAGCAGCTATGCCCGTCATGGCCCCCATGTAGCGCTCGCAGAACTGACGCGTGACCTCGCGATGTGGATCTGGCCTTAAGGCACTCCATTCATGCACCATCTCCCGTGCAGTCTCAGACTCGGTAGCTCGAACCAGCAAGCATGGAGAGTGGCTCAGAAATCCAAAGCGGCCCCCAACTTCAGCAAGCCAACGCCGTGCTGCAGCAATGCGCTGCTGCGTCGCAGTTGGATCCTCGCACACCACTTGAAGCAATCGAGTGTGAATACACTCGCTCGTTTTCCTTCTTGCCCTATGGTTTTTTGGTGAGCGCATTTAAACTGAAGGACGTCAGCTCTGGATCGATGACGTCGCCAGCATCGTCTTTGGGAGGGCCGCCCCCCCAAAAAAAAACCATCGAGAGCCTTGAGGACCCCCGCGAAGTTGCTGGGCAAAGCGATCGTGCGCCATAAGCCTGCGTCACCGCATGCAGCTGCAACAGGGGCGATCCCCGCTGATGATGGTTTGTTCCTGAATTCTGCGGTGACGCCACACTGCTCGCATGCGTGCGTATACTTGTTTAGCTGCCCCAATGCGTCTGCAATCGTACCATATCGCCATTTGGCAAGCGACCCTGCGAAGGACTTCGAAAGTTTGGCCGTGTCTGCGGCGCCACCCTGCGCCTTGACATAAACAGAAACCGTAGCTCGGTAATCGTCGTTTGTCCAAAAACTGCACAGCGCGCGCACTTCTTACATACCTGTTGGCCAGTGGGGGTGCGCCTTCATGGACTGTAAAGAATTCATACAGAGGTGGTGGCAGCCGGGCACATGAGCAGAATCAGGAAAGACGCGAATGTGGCGTTCGAGAAAGCTTGAAGACGCTTCTAACCCCAAGGAGCGATAGAACACTTGTAACGTGGAGACGGGTTCCTCTGAAATCTTGGATTCGATTCCTTGGCCTGTCGCGAAAGATCGAACGGCCTCCAGGGTCAGCTCGAACTGGCCCTTTTCACCGCCCGCCGCTAACCACAAGCCCCAGAGCACATTCAATGTCTCATCTGTGCATGATACGCACCCGTGGCCCATGGACGCGCCAACCCAAAGATGGTTCAGCCAACGTAGCTTGCCCGAGAAGAAGACGTCAACCTGAACCCCGAATACTTCTTTATCCGTCACAGGCGAGGCGTCGCACTGCGCCCCAATCGATATCGAAGAACACTTGGTCCACTTGTCTGAACTGAACACGCGCCGCTCGAGATTCAGGCACGCCGCGTCTAGCCGAAGCCGAGCGCGCAGCAGTGCGGCCTTGGATGGGGCGTCGAAGTTCTTTTGCTCCAACTCGTGTAAGAATATATGAACTTTCCGAGGGGAGAACGCACGGATGTTTTTTTTGCCGCACGGCAACGTGAAATTGAAATCTTTTATTTTTGGTCGCAAGAATGAATCTAAACATATGCGTCGGCTTGTGAATATCATCATGTCGCAGACCGGCGACGTACGTTGGTATAGCAACAAGATTCCGATCGCAATTGTCAGAACTGTCTGACTCTGAACATAGTTCCAGCCGGTCGGCAAACTGTCGGATGTCACGCCGAGGTGGAACGGATCCTAGATGAGACACACGCCAAGATAAACGGGGCGATATGCGCACGAGGTGCGCCAGAGGAAGCTCGTTCTGAACTGGCAACAATGCCGCTGCGGTGGGATACGAAGACCAACCATTCATTCGTTTGTGCCCCGTACGTATTGGTGAAGTAGCCCGATGTCCATGCATGTCGTTCTCACTCGAGTCAGGGCATTCCAATCGGCAAATCCATCTGGTGCAACAGGCGCGGGGTGACATCTTTCAACGGAGCACACTTTGTACCTCATGATTGCCCAAACTTGTTTTACTCGGCGGCCTGGGAACAAATCAGCAACTTCATCTAATGGCGATAGCTGCGTTCGAGGGTCCTCGAGCTCTCTCACTGCACAACTGCCAGACCCAAGATCAGAAACTCAGCCTCTGGCAGCCTGCAGAGGTCCTCGGGGTCAATCAAATCGCCCAGGACTAGCTGTGACTGCCGCAGTGTCTTCACACATGGGTCTGCAATAATAGCAAACAGCGCGCGTGGTCTCGCATAATCTGGGGCCCGAGCGGGCCTCTTCTGTCGGGTTCTCGCGGCAACGAGGATCTCATCATGGCCATTCCCATCAGAGGGCACAAGTATTTCATCACTCTCGGAGCTACATTGACCCATGCGAGTGCGGGGCAGGAAAGCTGGAGCGCGCGTGAGCTTGAGCCTAGAAATGGGACGGGCAACGATGGCGCGGCGAGCACGTGCTATTGACCCCACGCATTCCCGAGGAGCGCGCAATTGCAACCGAGGGGCACCCAAGACAGTCCTGGGGCGGCCCAGGAGGCCACCAATACGGCCCAAGAGGGCCCGACGACCAAGAGGGGGGCCCAAGAGGGGTCCATGCGGGGGAATGACGCGCAAGGGGTCCATGCGGGGGTTCGACGCGCAAGGGGTCCATGCGGGGGGTTGACGCATGCGTTGGGTGGGCGGGTGGCGAGACGGCCCGCGGGCAGGCGAGCCCCAATGATCATCTTCTCCTCTTGATTATTGGACGTGGCATGATTTTTGTTACCCCGTCTCCCCTTGCGCCCGCGCGCGGCTTGCCAAGCCGCGCGCCGACGCCCTCCCGCTCGACGGGCACCCTCTCGCCCGCGCGGGGCGGAGGGCCGCCCTGGGCGAACGCTCTCGACCGTGCAGAGCGACGAGGGACTCGATAGAGTTCCACGCAGGGGCGCCGAGCGAGCTGGAGTGACCACCGGGCATGCACCCCGGGCGCAGAGCCGACAGCCGAGCCCCCCCCCCCCCCGCCTCATTCCCCCCGCGAGCGAACGATCATGGTCGCAAGGGGCGGTTTTGCAAGTCGTGGGCGGGTCGGGGCGCCAGGGCGGACTTTCTGCAGATCGAATTTTTGCAGCTACGTATTGCACCGTGAACGCGTGTACTGTTTACGCCGATCTCCCTCGGCCCCGCGGTCCGCGTTATTTCCGGGCGATTGCTGCGTGGACCTGCGGCGCGCTGCCCGTCGCGCGGGGCGCGCGGCCTGGCGCGGGGGCCACGGCGCTTGGAAATTGTCGATTTGACAGGTGTTCATGGGCCCAGCAACGGCCTTCATAGGGTGGGGCCCGACACGGGCCGTATGATGTTGACGAGAAGCATTACGTCGTGCGAATGCATGTGGCGAAGTCGCGAGGCGCGAAACTACGTTGTGCCGTGGTCTTACCCCGCGGGGATCAAATTTCGACTTGGATGAGATCAGCGAAATTTAGTAGCGGATTCTCTTGGCCTGGACCATGTTTTTATGAACAATTCCCCAAAACGTCGGCGAATCACCCCCAAGAGCCTAAACAGTCACGCGGGCCCCGCGGGGGGAGGGGTCGCGGGGCGCGGGGGAGGGGTCGCAGCAGTAACGGGGGCCCCGCGGGGGAGGGGTCACGGGGGTCACCGGGGCCCCGCGGGGGAGGGGCCGCAGGGGTCACGGGGGCCCCGCAGGGGAGGGGCACGGGGGAAGAGGTCGCGGGCGGGGGCCACGGGGGTCAGGGTGAGCCCCGCGGGGGAATGGCCACAGGGGCGACGGTGGTCACGGGGGGGAGCGGTCGCGGGGGCAGCGGGGGCCCCGCGGGGGAGGGGTCGCAGCGACCCCTCCCCCGCCACTGGGGTCCTTCGGGGAGGGGTCGCAGAACTTCTGCGACCCCTCCCCAGTGACTTCTGAGGAGTCATTGGGGCCCTGCGGGGGAGGGGTCACGGGGGTCGGGGGGGGGGGGGCGGGCGACGGGGGTCACGGGGTCATGGGGCAGCGCGGGGGCCATTTCGGGGGAGGGTCACAGGGGTCGCGGGGGCCCCGCGGGGAAGGGGTCACAGGGGTCGCGGGGGGCCCGGGCGCGCTAGCGATCCCGGAGGCCTCGACGACGATTCGTCGAGTTGATGAGGAGGTTCGTTCGTTCTGGCTCGGTCCGCTTCCGTTTCTTGCTCGCTCCGGTTCGGTCGTTCCGGTTCGGCCCGCTTCATCGTCGAAGTCGAAGCGGTCTCGGTTCGGCTTGGTTCTTGCGCCGAAGACGACCGTTTCGGCTTCGTTCGCGTTTTAAGTTATTACCGGTTCACGCTGGCTTGGGTCGCCGCAGTTTGCATCGGGCGGTTCGGTTCGGTCGTGGAACCCCACCTTGCACCTTGTGCCATCGACAGGGGCTGGAGGGGCCTTGCAAGAAAACAGCGGCGCGCGCTGCATCGCCGGCGCCCGCGTGCCGCGCCGGGCCCGCCAGGGCGACCAGCGCGAGAACTGGCACAGGCAGCACCACCCCATGGGCGACCGCCCACAGCGCCGCCTTGTCCAACGCCCCCGCCATGACCTACAGCACGCACCAGAAGGCAATCTTCAACAATGAACCACGACGACGGCAGCGCCGACCCCTGCATGATCGACCCCTTACGAGCTCGTTTCGACACCGCGAGAAGGCTCTCTCCCAGCATCCCAGGCGTCGTCGCATCAAGTGCCTGAAGCAGAACACATGATGCAGCGAGACCCACGGAATGCTGGCAGCCCGAGCCCGCCAGGCTTGGCCAAAAACCAATCTGACGTGCATGGTTGTATATATTTGCGCAGGCTCCACAGCCACCCGCAGAGCACGCAGTCGAAGCATTGGTCGCACATGGAGTCAGGACCGTCGCGTGCACCTTCAGCGGCTTCGGTTCATGAAGACGCGGCCGAGCTCATGAACGACGACTTCGACGTGAACGGCGGCCCGGGGTGAGCGCCGAGTTGGTCATGAACATTCAGATTACTACGTCGAGCCACCGGAGCGCCCGGCGATATGCATTTACGTCAGCGCCGACGCCAACAACGCCAACACAATCTGCCCCAGAGGCACTGCGTCAGATTGATTCCGAGCGCGACGACGGATGACTGCGCATCAGATACGCGCGCAGTATTCGCTCGGCCAGGCTTCGTGGGACCCGTCAGCCTTTTTTGGAAGCGTTTGCCGCGCAATCCCGACGGGCGTTTCTCGACCCGCCTGATAGTCGAAACATCTACCGGAATGTGCGTGACAGTATCGACGAGGTCCATCGGGCGTCCGTCACGCGAGTGGGTCATCGCGCGCTGCTCCTGAGGGCCGCGCGCGACCCGAACAGCCAGTTGCACATGGTACGTCGGTGCGGAACTATACAGGCACCTTCTCTCCGTGCACTGAGGACATTCACGTGGCTCAGTTGATGGCAGCGCGCCGAACAGCACAACTACAATGCCAACGCCTTTGTCGCCGCGGGAGAGTCTGTGGCAAAGACCAGATGGATGACGAACGCTTGGACATCAGATTTCGCAGCGTTTGTTCGGCAGTTCACGACGCGACCAGATGCAGCAAGTGCACGGCGCGGCGGCAACGACCACGTCGGCTCATTTTCTTTGGGCAACTTTTAGCCAAGTGGGTATTGGAAATGGCTACAACGCAATCGCCCGTTCCACGAGGAGTGCTCGCACAAACGCATGATGACGTGGGGGCCAGGCGATGCCCCCAGGCATCCGAAATGCCGGGCACCTGGATATACAAAATCATGTTTATTGTCCAGGTGTCATTGTAATCGAAAGCTTCGCAGGGCCATTCGCAGCATCGCGACGACTGCGCGACCAGCAACGCTCAGACCAACCACCCGCGGCAGCTCCGACTCCAACATCACCGCCGTGCACCGCGGCCGCGAGTGCACATTCCGACGGCGGGGGACAGCGCGACACCATCTGCGCGCAGCAGCAAATCGACGCCTGAACGACGGTCAATGACCCCGACCTGTCGCACTTGACGTTGGGCGAAAACGCGCGCGCAACATCTGGAGGCCGCGGGGCCCACATTCCAGAACTTGTTTAGGTCATGGCGACCTCAGAACCAAGTTGCCGATTATCTGCCAATTGGCCCCGGACACCATGACTGCCGAGACCACTCCTCGCAGGTGGCAGACCAGTCCACGTAGACGAAGGCGTTGGTAGCGGTGTCGCGCGTGGCCAAGCTGAGCGTGGCCTCCTGCCATACGCCCGTGTCGGGGTGCAGGCGGTCCTGTCTCTTTTTCCATTTCGGCGTTACGTGTTATATCCGTAAGGGCTTCGCCCCCTGCCGCCGGCCGCCTCTCTCGGAGAATGGGCCATGGAAGAGCTAAGTCATGAGGTCTTGGCGCTGTCGTGAAGCAGTATCGAAACTTCATGCGAAGCCGATTCGCAATCAGCAAAACCAACTGATCACAAGAGGGGTTACCACACCTGGCGATTGGTAAGACGTGTATGGTTTACGGGCTTGGTTACCACACCTTGCGATTAAAGGGCCGAGGGAGTTCTCGCAGTTTGGGTTACCACGCCTTGCGATGGATGTGCGTGAAGGGTGGCACCGAATTTCAGAAATGTGGCAAATCCCTTGTGTTTTTGGACCCTGACCCCGCGGATCTGCGTGAGGGGTGGCACCGAATTTCAGAAATGTGGCAAATCCCATGTGTTTTTGGACCCTGACCCCGCGGATCTGCGTGAGGGGTGGCACCGAATTTCAGAAATGTGGCAAATCCCATGTGTTTTTGGACCCTGACCCCGCGGATCTGCGTGAGGGGTGGCACCGAATTTCAGAAATGTGGCAAATCCCATGTGTTTTTGGACCCTGACCCCGCGGATCTGCGTGAGGGGTGGCACCGAATTTCAGAAATGTGGCAAATCCCATGTGTTTTTGGACCCTGACCCCGCGGATCTGCGTGAGGGGTGGCACCGAATTTCAGAAATGTGGCAAATCCAATTGTTTTTGGACCCTGACCCCGCGGATCTGCGTGAGGGGTGGCACCGAATTTCAGAAATGTGGCAAATCCCATGTGTTTTTGGACCCTGACCCCGCGGATCTGCGTGAGGGGTGGCACCGAATTTCAGAAATGTGGCAAATCCAATGTGTTTTTGGACCCTGACCCCGCGGATCTGTGTGAGGGGTGGCACCGAATTTCAGAAATGTGGCAAATCCCATGTGTTTTTGGACCCTGACCCCGCGGATCTGCGTGAGGGGTGGCACCGAATTTCAGAAATGTGGCAAATCCCATGTGTTTTTGGACCCTGACCCCGCGGATCTGCGTGAGGGGTGGCACCGAATTTCAGAAATGCGGCAAATCCCATTGTTTTTGGACCCTGACCCCGCGGATCTGCGTGAGGGGTGTCGATTTCGAGCCCCCCCAGCAATTCAGACAACGCGCCCAGGGGGTGCTAAAAAGCCGGTTTGGGCCTCCCCCCCCTCGCGCGGTCAATCAATTAGTTACAGTAACCAGCAATAAGCAGAACTGTAACACTGGAAACTACAAGCTACAACTGGTACAGGAAACTGCGAATCCCGCTCCTCGCAGCCTGGTGGCCCCACAAGGGGGCCGGCGGATTGTTGTTGATTGTGTGATTGATGTTTTTGTGTTTCTCTCTGTCTCTCTCTCTCTCTCTCTTTCTCCCTCTCGAACCTTCAAGGATGTTCGAACATCGTCGAACATGGACCTGCGATGACGACGCCACCGTCGCCCCTGCCGCGACGCCCGCAGCCCGTCCTTTTCCTGGCGGCGGTGCGCCCGAGCCGAGGGGCGCGATGGGCCGCGCCTCTCGCCCCCCATGCCGCCCCTGGGGCCGCGCGGGGATCGGAGGGGCTGGCGCCTCCTTCCGGCAGGCCCCCGGGGGGGAGCCGAAGCAGGCCCGAGGAGGGCGAGCCGAGAACAGCGGCATTTGGTACTCGGGGGGTCCCGCAGTCGCCACGGCTGGACGCAGCTCGGAAAACTGGTTCGTCTGTGACCCAAATCACCGAGCGCGTTCCAATCTTCGCAAAGTGCCTAACTATTCGCAAACGTCCGAACACACACACACACACACACACACACACACACACATACACACACATTCACACACCTGTTTCGATGTAATGTGTCGTAGATCCCCCGCCGCGGATCCAGGCCATCTGCGAGTACTCACTTTGCGAGTGCTGGAACGCGCTCGTCTACCAAAAGAGGTTCGGGGACAGATCTTGAGACACCGTTGGCTATAGGCTATAGGCTTCTCAGATGGTGTCAAAAGTAGACGGGGTCCGACGATCGCGCCGCATCGCCGATGCATAGGCGACGCGTCTCGATGTGGAACCCGATGTTCTCCACGCCGACGGCGCCGACGCATCGCCGACGTCACCGACCCATCGCGGGTGCATCGGCGATGCATTGGCGATTCGGCGCGATCTTCGGACCTCTATTAGCTTGGACAAGTATTGGATGGGCTGGCGCCTCCCCCTCCAGCAAAATCCTGGGGTCGAAGAGGAAAAGCATACATAAACACACACACACACTTGCGGACCTCCGCGTGCATGTCTCGGACCGGTTCGCCAGCGCGAGCAGAGGGTGGGGCCGCCCATGCGTCGTTGGCAGAGGCCGTTGGGCCATTGTGTTAGCACTGCTTGTTGTGGTGGCCAGTTTGGGGGGCCACGGCTGGCCGCTGCGCAAACAGCTTGCAACATTCAAATCGGATTACGGAGATGGCGACAGGGGGAGTTTGGGGGGTCCATTGAGCATTCACAGGTTTTGATATGTTCGCTCGGTCGGAGGTCGTGGAAACGAACCTATGCACGCCCAGTGTCTTGTTATGCGTTGCTTTTTTACGCTGCGCAGGTCGCGTCAGTAGACAGCGCTGTGGGCGCAGTCGAGCCCCGAATCACGAGAACAGGAATTGGGGGAGGAGGGGGGCGCGAAAGGCGAAGGGGGGACGAGGGTGGGGGAAGATCTAGACGCCCGCAATTATCAGGAAGAGAGGGAAGTGCCAGAAGACAACGCCACACGCAGAAAGATGCTCGCAGTTCTTGAAGATTCGCGCGGCACCGAGGTCGAGTTGGCACGTGCGCGAAAGTCCCCTGCGAGAAATCTCTCCCCTGGACCAGCTGATCGAGGCAGGGGTTCCCCAGACGTCCCCCCAGGGCAGCTGATCGAAGCGGGGGCGCCCAAAATCACTCCCTGGGACAGCTGATCGAGGCATGGTGTGCTCAAACCCACACGAGGGGCAGCTATGCTACCCTATGTTCCAAGTGATGTCCCCCTGTCCCCCTTCTGTTCCTCTAGATCCGTGAATTAGACAATGGCGTTCAATGCTTCTGGGCACTTCTGTTCCTCTTTGTTTCACTATGTTCCCACCATGTTCCCCTACGTTCCCTCTCCGTTTTCCCAGGAAAGTGGTTTTGGGCACCCCCTCGCCTCGATCAGCTGCTCTGGGGGATGGTTTTAGGCATCACCAGCCTCGAGCACCCCCAGCCCCGATCAGCTGCCCCGAGGGGGGAGGTTTCCCGCAGGGGAATTTCGCGCGCGTGACCCTTGCATGTACCTCCAAACAGCCACGATCGCTACCTCCGGGCGCACCTCCTCCCAGTGAGACCCCCTCCGTTGCTCTGGTGGTCCAGGCAGTGCAGGCGAAGGCTGTAGTGCTTCAGTCCGCGGATCGAGGTCCCTGACCGAACCCAGTGCCGCAGCACAGCTTCCACGTAGGCGTTGGCGGCCATCGCAGGCCCTAGGTTGAAAGGCGTTGCCGAGAAGCAGATGAGTGCGAAGGTTCTGCTCAAGCTGCCAAATCCGTGGACCAATTTCGGCACAGTTCAGCGCATGTCATACATCCGAACAGCGTGTCGATTGACATTCAAAGGCCGCCGTCGGCCCCGTAGTGACATAACAACCCAAAGAGACTTCATCGCGCGTCGGGCGAGCCTGATCTAAGCCCCTGTGTATTCTTCGGTGTGGGTGACGTTATTTTCCCTGAGCTTTTGCTGCGCTGAGTGTTTTTCCCTACCTAGGTTCTGCCTAGAAGGGTTCTTACTCTCTTGGCTTAAAAGGGGCCGGGCGGAGTCATCCGCCCCGGGCGGTTCCCCCAGTCCCCTGGGAGCCAAGCAAAAGCAAAAGCAAAGGCAAAAGTGAAGGCAAAAGCGAAGGCACAGCAAACGCATAGCATAGCATAGCACAGCATAGCGCAGCATAGCATAGCGCAGCATAGCATAGCCTAGTCTAGCCTAGCCTAGCCCAGCATATCATTGCGCAGCATAGCATAGCATCGCATAGCATAGCATAGCATAGCACAACACAGCATCCACTACTACTACTACTACTACTACTACTACTACTACTACTACTACTACTACTACTACTACTACTACTACTACTACTACTACTACTACTACTACTTACCACCGCTACTGCTACTGCTACTGTTACTGCTACTGCTACTGCTACAACTACGACGATGAGGAGAAGGAGGAGGACGGCGTTTACCGCTCCTACTAATGTTGCTTTCCTCGCGGCTCCAACTCCTAGGTAGGGTCGCACTGGGATAATCTTATAGGGTATATAGCACTTTCCCCCCAATGCCCCCTCCCTATCCTTCCCCCTTCGATTCCCTGCAGGTGTTTCTCTGCACCTGGGCCACGCAACGAAGAGCTGGCTGGCGCATGGGCCCCGGCAAGGGTCCCGGGAGGGATCTTGGGCGGATTCGGGGCCTCCTCCCAGGCGACCGCAAACATGGATTATGGGGGCGTGGATTAGCGACGGGCCCCGTTTCCATCGGAAATCGCGGATTCCCGCCGCCGAGCGAGGCGGCACCGGGCGCATTTTGGGGAGGGCACCTCCCCCGATCCATGGATTTGGCGACCGCGCGCCAAATCCATGGATCGCTAATCCGTTTTTGCGCGCCCCCGCTCTTCTTCCCCTGGATCTTGGGGGAGTTCGGACGGGGGGGGCCCTCCGGCCTCGCCCGCAGGGGCTGCGGGTCGCAGGCCGTGGCCCCTCGCCCCGCGGCCTGGGACTCAGGCTGATCGGGTGCAACGGCAGGCGGAACGTTGGGGGAGTTTCGGCTTCGAGCCTCGAGGCTCGAGGTGTTCTCTCGGGATTTCGTCGGTTCTCGGCGGTCTTCTGGTCCCGGGATGCCTCCCAGCAGCTGCGCCTGGCCGAGAGTGCCAGAATCACCCCGAAGGGCAGCCAGAGAGCCGAGTTTGGGTCCGAAAACCAGCGGGCACGGGAAAACGCTCAAGGAGGGATGCATCGACCTCCAATTGCCCATTCAGCGCAGATAAGGGGTCCGATAGCCCACCCCGCCCAGGAGCATCCGTTTATGCCATCGTGTGTCTGTCGCCGAGCTATCGGCGATGTATTGCCGACTCCGAGTCGATGCTTCCCCCCGCTGAGATGGTCCCCTCATCGTTGCCCTTCAGCTGACCGTCTCAGCCAGATTGGGGCCTTCGCCAGGCGCGCAGCTCGAGGCCGGGTGGAGGTAGGATGAGGAGGGGGAGGGGTAGAGGAGGGGCCGCTTTGCGCGGCCGAGTTGGGTAGCCACCTTCTTCGTTCATGGAGAGCCAGTGCAGGAGACCCGCCTGGGGGCCCTGCGCGTTCAAGAGAGCTTGTCCCGCAGAGGGCTACAGCTGGTCGCCTCGACTTGACGCTGACTTCCGCCGCCTTCTGTCGTCCGGCCATCGGTTCCCAGAAGTTGAGGCCTCCAGGGGCCCCCGATACCTCTGGAGCTTGGAGTCCTTACGTAGGCGTCCACGAGCTCCAAGGAGTGCGAGAAGTGCCCAAAACCATCAGTCCTCGGACCGCCGATCATCGATCCTCTGCCAAAGCGTGAGCGGAGTTCGATCGACCCTTGGTCGCAGTAATTGCGCGAGGGACGCTCGCCTGCCCCCCTCGGCGGTCGCGTACTGGATCTACTGTCAGCGATGACCCCCTCGGCGAGGCCGTCTCGAGCAGATGTTCGAGCAGGGCTGCCTACGATCCGATTCGATGTGATTCGATTCGCTGGGCCTCGACGGGCTGTTTTGGAGCTACAGAACGGGCGTGTTGGGCCGTTTCGGAACCTTTTTGGGTTGTCTTGGCGGCCCTTTGGGAGCCCTTCGGGCCGTCGTGGGGCGGTTTGGGGGGCCTGTAGGACTGTCGTCAGCGCCGTGACGGCCGAAAAACCGCATATGTTAAAAGTGAACGTTTCCCAAATGGAAAATGGAGATTTGGGCATCGTGGGGGTTTCCTGAGACGCCTCCTGAAGGCGTCCTGGGGTGTATTGGCAGCTTCTTGGGCCATCCTGGGCCCATCTTGGGCGTGTCGGAGCGATCATTCGGAGACTCCGTGCTCTCTTGGACCGTCTTGGGGGTGTCTTGGGGGCCTCGACGGGCTGCCCTGGAGCTACAGAACGGACGTTTTGGGCAGTCTCGGTGCCTTTTGGGGCTGTTTTGGAGGCTTGTTTGGAGCCTTTTGGGCAGTCGTAGGACGGTTTTGGGGGCCTCTTGGACTGTCGCCAGCGCCGTGACGGCAGAAAAGTCGCATATGCTAAACATGGACGCCTTCCGAATAGAAATTGGCGATTTGGGCGTCGTGGGGGCTTCCTGAGAGGCCTCCTGGAGGCGTCTTGGGGTGTCTTGGCGGTTTCTTGGGCCGTCCTGGGCCCATCTTGGGCGTGTTGGAGCGATCATTCGGAGACTCTGTGCTCTCTTGGACCGTCTTGGGGGTGTCTTGGGGGCCTCGACGGGCTGTCCTGAAGCTACACAGCGAGCATGGGGAACCAGGCCCCCCCCTGATGAGTTCGGGGGTGGGCCGGATCCAACGAGGGGGGGGGGGTCAAATTGCCAGTTAGGGGTCCCAGGGGGGGGGGCTTGGGGGGGGGAGCGCTATCACACGCCTGGAGACCCACAAGTGGTCGGCGGATTCAAAGGGCCGCCTCCTCCCACGAAGAGCCAGAAAAACCTTAGCCCTCGCTCAGCGTCCAGGCTCCTGGATCCCTGGGCGTCCCGAGGAATCTGGACCCAGGGCGGGGCAGGGACGTCCGACGGGGAGGCCAGGGCCCTGGACCACTCCTCACGGCCGCTGAGCGACGGTGGGGCCGCGTTTCGAATGCTTATTGTGCGAGCCCTTGGTATAGGCTCCGCACGAATCATAAGAGTGTCGGTGAGCTCGTGCTCCCGACCGTCGCGAACTTCAGCCCACCACTGCCTGAGCCCCCTGAAAACCCAAGCCTCCAAGGGTCCCCAAAAAGATTCCCCAGGAGCAGGAGGTGGGCCTTCCTCAGAGGCCCCTTCCCCAGACCTCGGCCCAGGAGCACCTCCAGAAGGCTGTCTGGCACCAGGGATGGGGAACCCAGGGATGGCCTCGGGGGGGAGCCACTCTAGCCCGTCATGGTCGGCCGCTTGGCCCGCACTGATCATCACCTGCTGGGAGGACGCGAACCAAGCAGCCTCGCGGGCGAGAGAGGCACATCCTTCGATCAGCAACAGCTGGGCCTGCGAGGCCCTGAAGGGCTCAGCTCCTAACTTAGACTCCTTTCAAGGTCTGCTTGTGAAGCCCATGCCCTTGGCTCAGCAGCTTCATGATCGGCCACCAAACAATGTCTCCTTTCCACGCTTGAAAGTCATCATGCCTGCTCTGCTCGTCCCTGGCCATGAACCTCCTGACTCCTTTCCGGACCTGCTTTGCAAAGAACTGTGGCGAGAATCTCTGGATAGGCTCAGAACAACCTAAGTCGTCGACCAACGCCTTGCCATGAAAGTCAACATTCCAGCCTATCCTGTCGAGGTTGGCCATCAACGCTGCGATGGGGTGCTTCATTTTGCTAACGATTGCGCCGTCCTGGTAGCCGGCCTGGATCATATCCCAAGACACTTGGCGATCCCAGATCACGCTCACGAAGTCTTTGGCCACTTGGACTGTGGTGACCACGAGGGGGTCCTTCCTGGCCAAGAAGGGGTCGAGCAGGAAACGGAAACCTAGAGCACATCCTGGATGTAGGGGCTCCGCTGCTTTGATTGTTTGAACTCTTAGCTTCCTGATGGCCGTGTCCGCGAGGCCGCCGACTGACGATCCCCAAATGACCTTAGCCAGAGGCCCCTTTCTGAATACCCCTGACACCGCAGCCCACGTGCCCACACGTGCTACTAGCTTGCTGTTCATCTTTTTTTGCCTCGGAGGTCCTCTGGAGTCCCGTGGGGAGCCTTCGATATTTTCCATTACTTAAGTCCCCTCCAAGATCCCTATGAGCATTCACACACTCGGGGTCTTCGAGGAGCGCCTGCAGGAGGAAGAGGAGGAGGAATATCCTAGGAGGCCCCAGGAGGTCCTGGGAGGCCCAGAAGGCTCCAGGAGGCCCCAAGAGGGCCCCAGGAGGCCCGAGGAGGAGGCAGGAGGCCTAAGCAGGAGGCGTGAAGAGGAGGAAGAGGAGGAGGAGGAGGAGGAGGAGGAGGAGGAGGAGGACGAGGAGGAGGAGGAGGAGGAGGAGGAGGAGGAGGAGGAGAGGGAGGGAAAATGGAGACGAGGAGGAGGCGGAGGGAGAGGAAGAGGAGGAGGAGGAGGCGGAGGAGGAGGAGGGAGAGGGAGAGGGAAAAGGAGGAGGAGTTGGAAAAGGAGAAGGAGGAGGTGGTGGAAGAGAGGAGGTGGGGAGGAGGAGGAGGAGGAGGAGGAGGAGGGAGAGGGAGAGGGAAAAGGAGGAGGAGGAGGAAGAGGAGAAGGAGGAGGTGGAGGAGGAGGAAGAGGCAAGAGGAGGAGGAGGAGGAGGAGGAGGAGGAGGAGGAAGAGGAGGAGGAGGCGGAGGAGGAGGAGGAGGTAGGGGTTGAAGCAGGGGGAGGAGCAGGCGGGGGGAGAAGGAGGAGGCAGGAGTAGGTGGGAGAAGGGAAGGGACAGGCTGAGATCCCCAGGCAAGTTGAACATATTCTCATGTGGGGCTCTACCGTCGAAGTAATTGGGTTTTGATCCTATTTCGGCGCCTCCATATTTCAATTATCGAGTGGCATATCCTTGCCCTTTCCTGTCAAGGGGTGGGCGGACACCCAACCTGCTTCCCACACCTTCCTGCCCCATGCTTCTATCCAGCTTGGAACAGATCCTTAACCCTATGTTTTGCATCTCATTACCTCGGAGCCGATCCTATGGATTCCCCTAGTTTCTGAGGGCACATCCCTGAGATTGTCATCGCCTTGGGCTCGCCGATCTGAGGGATCGAACGCTGGGCACCCGATCCCCTGGCTGCGCCGACCCCGTCGGCGAGGCCGTCTCGAGGCGGCCCTCGACGATCTTAGCCTGTGGGCCCCTCGGCCGACCCCCCGCAGGGCGGGCCCGGGCCGGCGGGCCAGGGCCCACACGAGGCGCCCAGGTCGTCGCAGGCGGGCGGGGCCGCCGGGGGCGCTGGCCCGGCGCTCGCGCAGGCGCGGCTGCGGCTCGTTGTCTCGAGCCTCGAGCGTCGATGGGAGGGGCTCGATGCGTCCGAAGGCCAGAAGTGCTCGCGGGCTCGCGTCGTGGAACAAATGCGACGGGCTTTGTGATGTGTTCGGCCTCCGGGGGCCCTCGCCGAGCCGCGGGGAGTGCGTCGGGACTCCCAGGGACCGCGTGCTGAACAGACCAAGACGTCGCATGTCTGGGAGGGATCTCTTGGATCTACGCTGGAGCGGTGCCCGGGCTTAGGGGAGTCGAAGAAGAGGCAGCGGCGTAAACTGAACTGTTCGGATGTCCGTGCGGATCTCTCGGATCGGCGGCGCCTCCCCCCCCTCGCGGCGCCTCCGGCGCCACCCCTAGCGCCACGCGCTCCGCGCGCCAGATATGTAGGGGGTCTAGCGTAGATTCACGAAACCGATTCAGCAACCCAGGATGGGGAGTTGGGGCATCTGCACTCCAATCTGGAGGATCGAAGTGGGTACGGAAAGCGTGGGGGGCTGCGTTTTCGGGCCGTTCCTTAGACCGAGGTCGGAGAACCAAGCCGTGGCTGAAGCTCCCTCGCCGCGACCAGGAACGCCACTCCGTTCTTTATTTCGCGTTCCTGATGTTCGCACGCTGACTGACTGTATTCTCCGATCCCCTCACAGTCGAGGGCCGCTTCTGGACTCGGGGCGGACAAAAATGACGCTCGAGGCTTCGGGTTTTCGGACGCTCTCGTCGGTGCGGTTTTCCGGCCCCTGTGTGCTCTCCAGCAGTTGCGCATCGCCGAGCTGGAGCGTTCCGAGGGTGTCGAATGTCGGAATCGTCGTCCAGGACGGTTGCTGGAGACCCGATCTAAGACCCGGATGTCAGACGACGAGAAGAAGAGCGAGAGCGAATTCTTGCCAGAGTGACCTCCAGGGCCTCGAGCCTCGACCTTCGAGGTTTATGGACTCGGGGCGGAAGATGGCGGGATCGGGACAGCGTGTCACGAATCTGCTGCATGCAGCTGGGTCAAGTCGCGCCGCGCCGCGCGTTTCCCGACACGGTCGGTGCCGACGCCGGGAGGCACCAGAAGAACCGCATGCATGCAGCTGTTTCGCTACCTCCGCCCGTCTGCTATCCCAAGTTTCGTCCGCCCCGATGAACGTTCGTCGCTCTTCTCTGGCGTTCTGGGAGGGTCTCGACTGGCTACGAGTAAGGATGACCCCTCGCCGGAGTGGTGTGCCCACTGGGGTCCCCCGATCGCCGAACGCGATGCGATGAAGGCGTCTTGCACACGTTGGTTTGCGCCCCCCTCCCCATGCCCCGCCCCTCCAAGAGGGGCGCAACAGAGGTCACTCTGGCCGAGGGACACTCCTGGCCGAGGGACACTCTTGCGCATAATTAGCCAGCCAGGACCTGGAGCTCCGAGGCTTCTGGAAGCCATGCGCCCTTTTTGGGGCCTCTCGGTGGCTCCTCGTCGTCACGGCTTGATCTGCCCTCGGTGGTTATTGCCGCCCGGTTGCCTCCCGTGGCATGGTGGTGGTTTTGGAGGTCGAGGATCGAAGTTTTGGGCAGTTACAGGGATGGAGGGCCAATGGTTTTCAACTCGTAGTATCCGCCTCAGCGCCGCGCGCAATAGTTAAAAGCGCGTCCAACAGTTCCAAGGATTGAGAGCAGGTGATTTTCAAATTGTGGTTCTCTCCCCAGCGCCGACCACATTCGTGGTGCAATCTTCCAGCAGCTACAAGGTCGGAGGGCTTATGCTTTTCAAATTGTGGTACGTACTTGCCTGAGCCCCGCGCATATTCGTTTCACGAGCTCTGGACAGTGAACAGTTACGGGGATGGAGGGCCGATTGTTTGCAAATGAGGATCTCGTCTCAGCGCCTGCGCACATTCCTGTCAAAAGCTTGCAAAAGCTGCAAGGATGGGTGGCCGATAACCAGATACTGGTGATCCTAGTCTCCTAGGGATACTACAGTTCGGGGTCCAGGCAGGATAATACATCTTTTCTTGGAAATTTCGATGTTAGGATGTCTGGGTCGGTCTTCAAATGTGGTCTTCAAGAGCCTCTATGAGCCTTGTTCGCGACAATTGCCTTGTTTGAGAACAAGCGTCGTGTTTGAGACATCATCGAAGAACTCGTCGCGAACCCAGCGAATATTTGAACATGTGAGTTTCGCCTGAGACATCCTTACAGCAATGACATGTTCGCGACAGTGCCGTTTTCAAACAACAGCGTTTTGCTTGAGACACCATCGACGAATTGACAGTAGAGAATTCGGCACATCTTCGAAACTTTGCGTTTCGCGTGAGACATCCTCAATTTCTGACACTACGGATTTTTCATGGTGCTACGCATCAGATGAAATTCAGAGCCTCGATCGGAATTTTGGAGGGGAGAATAAAGTTCGGCCTTCCCGCATGTTGTGGCAATTAGACGACATTCAACCCCTTGGATACAGAGATGCAGAGGTTAAGGGGGGATGCTTTATTTCTCGGGGGGTGAGGTTGGTTGTCCGAATGTTTGGTTCTCGCCTCAGTTTCGTGCGCATTGGTTCTGAACGCATCCGACACCTACAGGCATGGAGGGCTGATTGTTTTCCACGTTCGTTTCTCGCCTCATCGCCGAACACACTCGTGTTGAGGACTGTCAGCCGTTTCAAGGAGGCTTTGTCGTTTTCAAATGCAGCTCTCGCTTGGGATGCCTTCGAGTTCTATGTCCCGATGTTGTTATTGTGCAGCAATGTGCCAGTCAAATGGATCGAGGCCGGCTTCTTTTCAGAAAAGGTCTTCCAGACGAGTTCCGATTTTATGATATCCAATGCTTTTCACACCGTGCAACATTGATTCGGCTTGAGGACGTCTTCCCTTTGACGGAGTTACCGTTGGACAGTTATTTGCCTTCTTGTCACCCTGGCGCTCGTCATTGAAGTCGGGCGGGGCGCTTCCTGCAGTGTGCAAGGAGTGCCTGTATGGACTTATGAGGGGGACTTGTGACCAGAGGGTGGACTGCACCATCGTCGATGCACCCTGGAGTTGCCCTGGTCCTTTCCTCCGCCTCCTCTTCCGCCCTTTCCTCGCCCCCTCCTCCTCTTCCTCCTATTCTTCCTCCTTTTTGGCCTCCTCATTCGAACGGTACCCATCGATCTGACCCTAAGAAAGCCTACGATCAGAAACCCGAGAGACCACGCTGCGCTCCTCAGCCTCGTGTGGCCCAAAATCGTTGTGCAGGAATCCTCGCGGACACCAGTGCTACAGCTATTCCATATCCTACATATACGTGTGCGTCGGATGTCATGTGGAGACTCTTCTTCGCGACAACGGCCACCTTCCGAGCGACCAGAGTGGGCGCGACCGAGGACCCGGGCAGGACCTACACCTGCGACGCGGATAGCCTCTCCCTCAACGGCGGGATCAGCACCGGCGACACTCCCGCTCCAGATGCCCATCAACAGTCCGACGGGATCTCAAGTGGGGTACCAACCGCCAGGCCGATGCCAGTGCTGTGGAACAGTGGGTCGGACCCGGAGGGGATGCACCTGCAACGGGGGCCAGCCGCACGACTGCCTTCGTCTACAGGCTCGGTACGGACCTCATTCTGCTTGGCCACCTGCAGCTCTACCTCCAATACCACCAGAAGCCTTCCTGAAGATGGGCTACCCGGCGCCGACGACTCCTCAAGCAGCGTGCCAGGCCGTGGGACATCAGCCAGCAGGACCTCCACAGCATCCACCACCGCCGCCACCTGCGGCACCAAGCTCAACCGTTCGGTCGAGATGCTCATGCTGCAAGCCCCCCAATCGGACGATCACGGGATGCAGCTGCCGCGGCGGGAAGAGTCACCAGTGCCTCAAGCTGCGCCCCAACGAGGCGACCAAGGAGACGGATCCGAACGGCGAGATGATGGGGGACGTCCGCAGCCAGGCCGTGGCCATGCGGTGGCGCAGACTGGCGACGAAGCTGGCGAAGCGCGACCCCGAGGGGCCCTGGGAGTTCCTGCCGGGAGCGGACGACCGTATGCTGGACGACTCGGAGGTGAGCGAGACCAGCTGGACAGCTCGGACCTTCAGACGCTTTACCTACTTCGAGATCGGAGAGGACACCGTCAACCTGACCCAGGCCACGCGAGCGGACCTTATGGGAGTCTGCTGTCCTCGAACGTCATATTTGGGACAAGCCTTGGAGGCGCAAGGTGGGGCTGTGCTCAGATGCGGGCTCTTCAACGGGCACGACATGGGTACGGCAACTGGTGTCCGCAGAGCGATGCATCTACTCCGACTGGCACGCCCGAAACGTTTGGTACTCAGTCCGCCGTGCACCGCCGACTGTCCCATCCAGAACCTCAACCAGAAGACGGAGACCCAGCAGAAGCAGCTGGCCACCAATGTCCGCCAGGCGAGGCGGATACAACGGGGCTGTCTTGCGCTCTACGAGGAGGCCATGAAGATCACCGACTGCCACGCCGAGCTGGAACAACCATGGAACAGCAGAAGCTGGGCGCGATCACCATCCATCAAGAAGATGCGGTCCGATATGCACGAGACGATCGTACATTGCTGTGCCGATGGGCTACGTGATGAAAGATCTGGGTGGCTGGTGAAGAAGGCCTGGCGCATCTGCTCGACCCACCCCGAGTTCGGCGCGAAGGTGAGCCGCCTCTGCTCGAATCGCCCTGGGCGCGGCGACAACCACCTTCGCCGCGTCATCGAGGACGGGCCCGTGGTCGTTCAGACCGCGTACTACCCGCCAGCGACGTGCAAGGAGATCTTCGCAGGACTCGATCAGATCCCAGAGGAGGACGACGTCGAGATGCCGGACGAGACGGAGGAGCTGCTGGAGGACGAGGACATCGAGATGGAGACAGCCGAGGCCTCTCTCAAGGGCTTGGGCGTGAAGACCGAGCTCACGAAGAAGGAGATCTCCGAGATCGAACAACGGCTGGCTCGCCTACATCGGAACCTCGGCCTTCCCATCATAAAGACGCTCTACAATATGCTCAAGGCATCCGCAGCGGCAGTAGCGGTACTACGACTGGCTCTCCAATTTCAGTGCCATGGATGCCACATTGGAAAGTTGCCGAAAGCCGTCAGAGTAGTCTCACGCGCGTAAATACCCGGAGCGCTGGAAGCACTTGCTACTGATGGGATGGAGTGGCTTTCACCGCGGCAAATGTCTCACATCATGACGCTGAATCTGGACGAGGGCTCCGGACTCACCAGCGCGACCCACCACGGGCAGAATGGCGAGCGCCGCGGCGACCGCTCAGCAGCAGCGTGGGAATCTTGGCGCAGTCGCTATCGTCGAGCATCTCTACTTCGCATGGATCCTGCAGGTTGTCACTGCTCGCAGGCCGTTGCGAAGTGGGCCTCCGACCGCGGGATCGAACTCTGGATTTAAGTTCGTGAACTGAGTGCAGGCGGCCCACAGGAAAACCCACCGAAATCTTCAACGCTTCTTCGGCCAGAAACTCAAACTCCAGAAAAATGTTAAAGAATCTTGGATGGGCGGCTTGTCAAAATCCCTTGCAATCCGAGAGAATCTCAAACACAAAAACCTGGGAAACAATCAAACACGTAAGAAACTACAGGACATTTTGACGCCGAAACCTGGGGGACAAATCAAGCCAACCAACAATTTAGAAATAACCTGAAGCTCAAACCCGGAGGAAGGAACACATATATTTGTTCACAAAAAACTGCAGGTTTTGTTTTACATAGCTTTCAGAGTTGTGCCCTCGTTTTTGTTTTGATAGTGTTTTCAGTTTTTTTGTTTCCAGAGTGTTTTATGATTTTTGTTTCAGAGTTTGTTTGAATTGTTTGCAAGTTTTTGTTTTTTTTTCCAGAGTTTGTGCCGGGTTTTGTTTTCTCTCCCCCGGAGTTGTTTCCCCCGTTTCGAATTGGAGAGGTTCTGAAGTTTTTGTTTGTTTTGAGGTAATGTTTCCCGGGTTTTAGCTTCAGTTTTTGTTCCCCCATGTTTTTGTGGGTTTGAGTTTTGTTTCGCAGGTTCGGTGCTTGAGTTTTTCTTTCTGCAAAAACAGGATGTCGACCTCCCCAGTCTTCAAGATTCCCGGGTGTTTTTTGGTTGGTTTGGGGTATTTGGCCCGAAGTGGTCGTGGACCGCTTGGTGTCGCAACTCGCGAGCCTAACTCTGGATCGCCCCCGGCGAGGCGCGCTGGCTGATGGGCAAGTTGCAGCGCCGCATCCAATTGTTCAAGAGGCCCGCGACGAAGCTCGCCACCCTCGACCCCGAGTGCGACGCGCCTGAGCTGGTCACCTGGGCCGCGAGTGCGATCAACTCCATGGGCAAGGTCGGGGGCCACTCCCCGTTCGAGAACGTTCTGGGAGTCGCAGGGAGGCCGCGCTCGAGCGACCCCTTCGCCATCGTCGACGGGGGCGCCGGCGAGACGCAGGAATCCAGACGCCTACTGGCTCGGCAAAGCCATCTCGAATGCGAATATGCTGAACGTCGGCGCCACGCAGGACAGGCAAGGAACTGGGCGTGCCAGACCTGGGAGGCCAGCGACTTCGCGCACGTCTGGCGCGACGGCAAGGGCCGTGAGAACCGCCCTGGGAAAAAGGGAGGCTGGCATGGGCCAGCCCGCGTGCTCGCCCAGGAAAAGCGCCGCGTCGACGGCTGGGCGCGCGCCCCATCAGTGGTTTGGATCGCCCACGGGAACACGCTGATCTGGTGTGCCCCAGAACAACTACGACCTGCCTCAGAAGCCGAGAAGATGATCACCGAGCTCAAGAAGCAGGCCAACCTAGACAAGACCATGACGGACATCCTTGAGAATGCCAAGGTAGGCACCTTCGAGGACCTCGTTGACCAACGACGACCGGACCTCCAGGCCTCCGAACCTCCTGCAGTACCAGCTGGAGCACCAGCAGAAGATGCCGCTGAAGGACCACCAGCAGCCGCCGTGGACGAGGAGACGACGCCCCCCGAGTCCAGGCGCACTACGGCACGGTCGGTCGCTCAACCTGAAGCAGAACCAGGCGACATCGGCGAAGAAGGTCGAGACCAGGACCCTGGAGCACCAGCAGACGGAGGGCCACCAGAGGGATCGCCTCAAATTGAGCTACCTCCTGCCGCAGAACCAGCCCCTGCCGTCGCAGACTACGATCGGCCCGGGGAATCTTCAGCATCATCATCGGCAGCTCGGCCGAGGTACCGCATGGCACATCGAGGACCCAGACTTGATCTTTACCGACCACCAGAGAAGCGGCAGATGGGCAACGATGACATGGACGAGAAGGAGCTCTGGGTGGGCCTACAGAACGACGATCTGGACTTCTTGCTATGAGTGGACGAACACCAGACGGTCTACTTCGAGTACATCAAGAAACAGGGCTCTGAGAAGCCGGACAGCAAGGGCCTGATGGACACGATGCTCAACAGTTTCATCGCCAACCAGCGCCATAAGGACAAGCTCGAGCTCTCCTTGTCGAAGATGAAATGCGCAGAGCGCAAGGAGTTCGAGGAGGCGATCACCAAAAATACGAAAAACTGGCTACAACATCGAGGACTTCGCCCGGCACCAGCGACACAGGTCAAGGTCGCCGTGGACATCATTCGAGCTCGATGGCACTTCACCCGCAAGGCGGACGGTCGAGCCAAGGCGCGCCTCGCCAGACCAAGGACCTGGGGGAGGAACCGACTGCGAGCCCAGCAGCCTCGAGGCGAGCCCGCAACGTGATGCTCACCATCGCCGCCGCCATCAACTGGAAGCTGATCAAGGGCGACGTCACTTTGGCTTTCCTTCAGGCTCACGAGCTGGACAAAGACCTGTTCATCGAGCCCGGCAGTGTGCTTCGGAAGGCGTTCAACGTCAAGGGCGGCGAGCTGCTCGGGGCAGTCAAGCCCGGGTACGGCACCGGCGAGGCACCTCGACATTGGTGGGAAGCGGTGAAGGTCGGTCCCAAGAAGCTGGGACTTCATGCGTGCGAACTAGAACCTTGCATGTGGAAGTTGCGATGCTCTCAGACTGGGCGCCTCATCGGCATGGCCATGGCTCACGTGGGCGACTTCATTGTCGCCGGCGACAACGAGCGCCCCGAATGGAACCAGCTCGTGGCACATATCCGCAGGCTGTACAAGTGGGGCGCCTGGGAGGACATGAATGACGGCGTCGCCAGTGCCGAGCAATGTGGTGCAATAACCATCGAGGAGAACGGCAAGGGCTTCTTCCTACGCCAGAGGGCCGACGCCGACAATATCCAAGAAGTTCGACCACCTGATGGAGGACGACATCGGCCTCCAGACAGTCTTCGCGACAAGGACCAGACCGTCCTGCGGGCCATCTGCGGCGAGATATACTGGCTGGGCGTCAACGCCATGTCCTTCCTCCTCGCCTGGGTGGCCGAGCTCCAGTCGAAGATGCCGAACGGCACGCGCAGCCTGTTCACGACCGCGAACAACATCGTCATGCTGAGCAGGCAGAACCAGTACATGGGGCTCGAGATTCACCGCCACAGCCTCGACGACCTGGCCGTCTTCACCTGGTGCGATGACGCCCTGGGCCAGCCGCCTTGACGGGCATTCGCAGGGCGGGTGCGTCGCGGCCATTGCCGCCGCCAAGGCCATGGAGGGTGAGAAGTCGCAGTCCACCGCGCTCGACTGGGGCTCCAAGAAGTTGCGCATGGTGGCTCGATCGAGCCTGGCTGCAGAAGCACAGGAAGCAGGAGATGCCAAAGGGGAACCGCGCATGGTGCGCATGGTGCTGGCCGAGATCCTGCTCAACCGGTCTCCCGTCCGGGGGCGCATGGCGATGCTCCATCACATCCCCGCCGTGCTCGTGACCGACTGCGCGGCGTCCCGCGACGGAGTGGTGCGATCCCAGTCGGCTGGATTGGGCCTCGAGGAGCGGCGGGCCGCCATCGAGGCGCTGGCGCCCAGGGGCGCGCACGACGAGGGGCAGGCAACGGTGCGGCGGGTTCGCTTGCACGCGCAGATCGCAGACGGGCTCGCCCAGGGCAGCTGGCAAGCGTTCGGAGTTCTCAAGCTGTTCCTGGAGAAGCAGGAGTGGAGGCTGATCTGCGACGAGAACTTTATGGGCGCGCGGAAGCGGGCCGTTCTGGGGAAGGGCATCTTCAACGCAACCAAGCCGGAGGACGCCGCAGCCGCCAGGGAGATCTTCGAGAAGCGCCGGCGGGCTCGGAAGGAGCTCAGCCAGAATGGCGGAGCCCACGCAGAGCCCAACAGCACGAGACCGAGCAGCTCTCGGTCGGGCCAGGACGGCCCGATGAAAACGGCAGCTTCCTTTCCGCCTGTCTGAATGGAATGCAGAGTAGCAGTTTTACACTCTGTTCATCTCATCTTGCTGCTCCTCTCTGTCATGTTCTGCCGTGTTCCGTCACCGCCGCCCACCGGCTCAGAGGTGCTGGCGGGCGGGTTTTTTCTTCCTACCGCAGCTGGCTCCAGCTGCACAGATCACGCGTCGGGGCGGCGATCGTTTTCGGAGAGCAAAAGGTGCTCATCTACATCGCTGAGGATTTGTTTGTCAGGCAAATTAATTGCGACAGGTTTTGCGAGATCCGAGGGGCGAGGTTGCGAGTTCGAGGACTTCGGGGACCTCTTGAAGCTCTTCGGGATTCAGACCCCCCCCGCCCCCCGCTCGCCCTCGAAGAGCGATGGGGCCCCCGGCAAATGTCAACATGGAACGCGGGGCCCCTTTTCCCAAATCCTGGGGACTTGAGAATGCGATTCTAAAATTGACATATTTTCGGGGCCCGGGACCGTCGAAACAGGGCTCGCTCGAAACGGAAACCGGACCCGCAGGATAACCGATTTTGGCAAATATCCGCCGTCGGAGGTCACAAAGAGAATATCCGAAAGACGGAGAAACAAATTGGCCGGAATTTCGGGCTGATCGGGGCCTGCGTCGGATCTGCGAAGGCCCCGCCAGGGCACGCGGGTCGCCGATGTTCTGCGCGCGCGATGCGCTCTGCACTCGTGCTGCGCACTTCTGGCGCTCTGCGCGAGCGCAATTGGGAAAACCAAAAAGTACCGATACCGCTGCTCCCCGGACCTGTCCCGGGGTGCGTTCTGACGAGGATTTCGAAGCGAATCCGGCGGTGGGGGCCGCGGCTTCGCAGGAGACCGAGAAAAGGGGATAACGGGCGACGGCGCCTGTTTCTCTTCTGAGCTTCGACGAGGCGACGCGAGGATGCCAGGGGGCGCCGTGGACACCAAAGCCCCAATGAACGAGGAAAGAAAAAGGAAGCCTGCGAGCTCGACCCCCAATCCACTTCATCCTGCTCCTCCTCCTCCTCCCCCCCCATTATCGCCCCCCTCGCCGTCGTTATCACATTTATCTCTCCCTCTCAAAGGAGAAAGAGATCTGATAACCCGGAAGGGGGGCGAGGGGGGGGTCATGTTTCTTTTGTGCGAATATGCGGGCTTTGTTCCAACGTCATGCGCGCTCGCCCCCATGCGCGCTGCCGCGAAGACAACAGAAAAGGAGCGATATACATATAGAGAAAAAGAGAGAGAGAGAGACAAAGAGAGAGAGATAGAGAAACAAAAAAGGGAAGGGGGAAGAAAGAGAAAGATAGTGATAGAGCGAGAGAGAGAGAGAGAAACACAAAACAACGCACAGTGGAGGAAACGCCGCAGAGAATTGCGCGCGCCGGTGGGATAACGCGGCGCGCCCATCGCGCGGAAACAACCAGTGAGAGACAACGGAAGTGGAAGGGGTAGTGAGGGGGGTGCAAAAAACGGATCGCCTGCCAAACCGCTACCCAAGGCCGCGCTGACAAGTCGCAGAAATGGCGTCTGGGCCAAGCGCGCGGGTCCAATTCTCAAGCACAGCGGCCACTAAACCGCACTAAAGTCCATTAGACCATAATATAAAAACGCTTGGGTTTGAAATGAAGCTCCCATGCCTGGCCACCTAACGCCCTGTCACTTGTAGCGGGGACAATCGCGTATTTTTTTGGCGCGTGGGGGGCCGTCGATGAAGCCAGCGCACCTTCGGATTCCGTCGCGGCGCGTAACGCTGTCGCACCCGCCCGCGGTTGCTGGGCGACGCTCTCCACCGCGATGCTCCGCGCGCTGACGCGCGCCTCGCCATCGCCGCCCCTGCGTGTCAGCGGCCCCTGCGGTCGCGCGCGCTCCTTGCTGCCACGGGCGCGCTCGCGCTCGCGATGGCGCGCAAAGCATTGCGCGCGCGATTGTCGCACCAGGGCAAACGACTCCGCCCCGGCCCCCAGCGCGCCATTCCACATCTCTCGGAGCCAGCGGCGGGCTAGTGGATTCGCGGCGAGCATGGATCGCGCGCGCTGGCGCGAGACGATGTTCGCGCGAAGTTTGCCGCGTCGTTGGCCCGAGTGCGCGGCGACCTTGCGGAAAGGAATAATTGGATGAAGTTGTTTTGCGTGCCGGTCAGAGTCGAGAAAGGCTACGCTGCGTCAGCCGAGCCCATGGGCTATGGTGAGCGTTCTTGGAGGCTATCTTGAGCTAGTGGAAGCAGTCCTGTGGCCATCTGGAGCCGTGTTGGGCGTTCTAACGCCCCGCCGCTTTTTCCCCTCCAGATGCAGGCGCAGGGGGTAGGGGGAGAGCTTAGTGCTTAGTGAGTTGGTGAACAAAGTAAGCTCGCCATGTGCGACGCGAGATCCAGCGATGCAGGCTGGGGAAAGGGGCGTGCCTCCCCCAGCAAGGGGCGCACCCTTTTCTCGCGCGACGACCGGGGCCCGCGCGCGGAGATCGACGGCTCTGATGCGAGTTTTTTCTTCTCCTGCAAGGCTACGCAGAGGCACAGGTTCGGCACTGGTGGTTTTTCGGGCGAAGAGAATTATGCACATGCACCGATCCTGGCAAGGCCCATCCTTGACCCATGATCGGTGCATATGCCTTCCTGGCCAAGGTAGGAGGTCGTATGCACCGATCCTGGGCTCAGGATGGGCCTGGCCAGAATCGGTGTATGTGCATAGTTCTTTTTCCTCTAGTTTTTACAGCGTTGCATTATCCGCGACGAAAGGGGCTACGTCATCAAATCGTCAAATCGTCGCGGCAGGGGCAGCGGTGAACAGCGGGCATGCAGCATGCAAGCGAGATCTGAGAAGCAAGCGCAAGGAATTCCGCATACGCCGCATACGCCCTAGCCCAGCTCACAGTCAGCATCTCGGCAACCGCCCGATTGATTGCCCATCTCGCGGCCCTCGTCATGGCGAGTCGCCTTGGATCCCCGATCGCGGTGATGACATAGGCGGAAGGGCGGCCGCGTCCTTTGAAAACTACATCTCGTTGACCGGCGCGGGAGCTCAATAATGAGGAGAAAGTGGGAAGATTTGCACGATGTTCGCATCTTCTAGATGAACAACACGGGCTGGCCGCACCGACATCGGGAGGATTATCCCGCTGACGACAGTGACGACAGCGCTCCCAGTATTCCCCGCCGTCGCGAGCTGCCCGCGCGGTTCCGTCCGCCCGACCCCGACCCGCCGGTTCGGGTTCGATGATGACATCTATTTTCATGTCCCGCCCGCCCGACCCGAACCACCCGTCAGGGCCCCGTGCGACTCGCGCGTGCCAGTTCGATGCTGCGTGGCATTCAAATTGCTCGTCTGTTACGGCCCGCCCGGCCGTTCCGACCCGCCCGTAAGGGATCGTTCGTTTGGTGGTGATGGCGATGAATGACGACGAGAGGGAGGATTCTGCTGATGAAGGTGATGGTGTCAATGGTGATGATGACTTTGTCGATGATGATGCCAGGGATGCTGAAGGCGACGTTGCTGTCGATATTATGATGCGGATGCCGATAGCCAATGGGGCCAGGATGCGGGTAATGAAGATGGCGGGTCAGATGACCACGACGGTGTTCATGGTGCTTGGAATGATAAATGTGTTGATTATGTTGTTGCTGATGGTGATGGCGTGACGTCGGATAGTCCTGCCGATGCTGTTGCTGATGATGATGAGCATGACGGTGGCGCGGATGATAATGATGATGATGATGATGATGATGATGATGATGCTGATGATGATGATACACATATATGTAAGACAAACATAATGTTAGTTGGCATGTGGATGATAGACAATGGCCAGGATGGTACAGGTGGTTGGAATGACGATGCCGAAAATGCACAGAATGCTGGTGCACATGCGGATGGTAATGGTGATGGTGCCGATGGTAATGATGAGGACGGGAATGATGATGAAGATGGGGATGACGATGCCCATGATGTTGAACATGATGGTGATGGCGTGGGTGTAGATTATGATTCGGATGACGACGACGATGTTGATCACCGTTATGCTTAAGGTCGTGACCATGGTAGTGTTGATGGTCATGATGTTGGGGTTTACGAGGATGAGAATGATGGTGCTATTGTTCCTGCTGGTGATGTTGTTCATGATGACGGGTGTGATGATGGTGAGAACGATGATGGTGTTGTTGATGATGTGGATGATGGTGATAGTGGCGATGAACACGATGAGTACAATGACGCAAACGATGGTGATACTGATCATGATGATGGTGACGATGGTGATGGAGTTCATGATGATGACGATGGCGGTGATGATGATGATGATGATGCACATAGTAATGCTGTTGATGCAACAGCGGTTGATACTGACGTATGCGAACTCATCGTGATGTTGCTGATGATGTTGATGATGATGATGCTGATGGTCATGATGATCAGGCTGATCATAATGATGCGACTGATATTTTTTCCTCGACGGTCCGTCGCAGAGAACATCCAATGCTTTCGTACTGCCCCGCATGGGCTGGTCATCCGTGGGTGCTGCACAGGGAGTCGTCCTGCGCAGCGATAGCCAGGCGATGAAATAATTTCGGCATAAGCTGACACTCGTTACCCAACACTGCAGCGAACGTAAGTCGAGGCCATGCCCGCATCGACTATAGCAGCGTGCGTGCTCGGACTCGGGCGTGGCTGAAATTAAAAAAAACCGAGACAGAGTGAGAGGCCCTGACAAAGCGTGTGCGTGCTCAGTGGAGCCCGCGGTAAGCGTCGAGGTCATTGCTGTGATCGATAGCCAAATCGTTGACAGCCATCAGCGCACCGTCCTGTTCCCAGAAGGGGTGAGAAACGGAGGCGTCGAACACGCGCTCGATGGCCGAGCATACGATCTCTTCGCTTGTGCCCGCGAGGCGGGTCATGTCGGTGGCGATGGTCTGGTTGATGGCGTCGCGGATGTCGACGGGGATGACGTTATCGATGGAGTCGGTCATGAAAGGGTCTTCCGTACCAGCGTAGCAGGTGTCAACAGATTCGTGCTCCTTTGGGTCGGCTGATCTCGTCCCTTGTGGTCGAGATACAGTGGCACTGCGTACCCGGCTTGAGGTGACTGACCAATTCTCTCCGAGACTGCTTGTCGTCGAAGTTCGTCTCGGCCATCTCGGCGTAGTTGGGATCGGTCATGGAGGGAACATCCGTGCCAGCGTAGCAGGTGTCAATAATCTCGCGCTCCTTCAGCTCGTCGGCGGTCGTCGCATGCGAATGAAGTGATGATGATGATGATGATGCTGATGATGATGATGGTGTTGCTGATGCCAATGATGATGATGATTATGATGATGAATATGATGATGATGATGATGATGATGATGATGATGATGATGATGATGATGATGATGATGATGATGATGATGATGATGATGATGATGATGTTGATGTTGATGTTGATGTTGATGATGATGCTGACGAGGTTGATGATGATGCTGATGCGGATGATGGTGGTGGTGCTTGTGGTGGCGATTTTGACGATAGCGAGGGTGATGTTGGACACAATGATGATGCTGCTGATAATGATGGTTTACCAGTTGCCTTCGTCGTCGTTCGTTGTCCTGTCGAAGTTGTCGTCGTCATCGTCGTCGTCATCGTCGACTCCTGGTCAAAACGCACCCCGGGGGAGGTCCGGGGAATAGCGGGATCTGTTTTTTTTTGTGTCCATTAGAGGGCGCTAATGATCAGGAGGAGGAGGACGAGTAGCAGGAGTGCCTGGATCGGCTCTCGGATTAACGGATCAGTGAATTGTGACAGACGTCCTTTTGGAGAGGAAGTTGGAGGAAGATCCATACTTGCGCGCCAGATTCGATTCGACCTGCTCATCATCCCCAGGGGTCCAGTTCCTTCCGCATGACTCTCACGCTTCGAGCGAGGATCCGTACCGACTGGGGCGCCCTGGTGTTTCGGTTCGGTCTGTCTGGCAGTTGCTCAGAGGAGGGGGGGAAGTAGGAGGAGGAGGAGGAGGAGGAGGAGGAGGGGGAGGAGGAGGAGGAGGAGGAGGAGCAGGAGGAGCAGGAGAAGGAAGACGGAGCAGGACGGAGTAGGAGAAAGGAGGGGAACGGATGAGGACGGAGGAGGACGAGGAGGACGGAGGAAGACAGAATTGGACGGAAGAGGACGGACGAGGAGGGAAATATGGATCAGCGTTCAGATTGAATGCCGAGTCGTGTTTCTCTGTCGGGCTCGGCGCGTTGTGCTGTCGAGTTCCCCGTCTCGAAGTCCTAGGGGCAGCCCGCTCAGCCTTCAGCGTGTCAGCAGGAGGGGGGGACGAGGGCAAGATGGAGAGACGGATGAATCGAGGGAGGGAGGATGCTGTGCAAGAGATTGGTTGACAGAGGGTGCAAAGGCGAACGATGGAGATGGAGAATGAAGCCAGGGCCTGCGGAGCATGCACGGTGACAGCCAGGAAGGAGGAGGAGGGCTCTTCTCTTTCTCGACCTCCCCTAATTATCTCCCTCCCCCCCCCCTTGTTTTTTGTTGTCTCTATATATAAATATATATATATATAATATATATATATATATATAACTCTTTCTTTCTCTCTTTCTACCTTTCTCCCTCGAGTATCTAGCTTTCTCTCTCTTTCTCACTCTCTCCCTCTTTCAGTTTCCCTCCTGATCCCCCTCCTTGTCCTCTTCGTCGTCCTCCTGGTCCTCGTCCTCCTCGTTCTCCTTCTGCTCCCCCCCCCCTCCAGCGAAGAGTGGGGGGGGGGGGCGCCGACGTTTCGGCCCGGGGGCCGCCCGCCAGCGAGGCGCGCGCCGAGCGAGGCGACGCCATCGCCGAGGAGGTGGCGTCGGAGCTGGCCGAGGCGCAGTCCATGCGCTGCCAGGCGCGCGCGCGCGCCCTCCGCCTCCTCCGTTTCCTCTTCCGCCTCGTCCGCTTCTGGGGAATGGACGCTTGGGGCTTGGGGCGGGAGCGTGTACTGCCAGCAGCATCGATGCATGATTACGGCGCGTGGGTCTGGGGAGGCCCCCCGAGCGAACACCCAAAACGAGTCAGGACAGCGACGCGTTCCATGATTTCGAGCTTTTCCTGCCGTCCCGCACGGGACTCCACTAGGCGAGTTTGATGCTGTCCCGTCTTGGTCATTCCCTCGACCCTCCTGGAGCTTGGCGCAGGCTCCCAGAGTCCAAGAACGCATAAAGACGCCCGCCTTCATGTTTCAAGAAGTTGGATGCGGGGGATCATGTCTGCGTCCTGCCCAGGACGCTCGCAGATGCCTTCAGCTTGCGCTAGCGGCGCTGGCGCGTCGCAGCCCTGTGGCCACGGGTATCGGCCACGTTGCTGATGCAGCAGGCTTCCCTTCAAACCGATGTTTCCACTCTCTTGCAGCATCGCGTGCGACTGCTCCGCCTTACTGCCATGGGCCCGCTTGGTTGGAACACGAAGCTCCGCAAGCCTGACGTCGCCGGGCTGTCCTCGCCTTCATGTGCCAGCGGGCCCCTGGTCTGCGGCGTGGCCAGATCCTGGCACGCTCTGCCCCGGAGGCGCTGCTCGTCACGGACGAGGCGGTGAGCATGGCCGCGGCTGTGGAGGAGCCCCGGCCTCCTCGCGCGGCGAAAGACGAACATACGGTCAGAGCGCTGGAATGAGGACCTTTTTGGGGTTCGGGAGGGCCTCTGTGTTTCGGCTCATTCCTCGGGCTTGGGTCGGGGAACTTGTTCGTGGCCGAGGCTCGCCGCGGCCAGAAGAGCCCTTCGTTCCGTGTGTTGCATTCCTTGTTGATGGGACCTGATTTCCACCACCACTACCATATGTTGGAGAAGGAGGAGGAGGAGAAAGAAGAGGAGGAGGAGGACCTCTCCCTCCAACCTATGGTAGTGGTGGTGGAAACCAAGCCCATCACTTGTGGTAGCACGATGACTGTGCGTAGCACGACGGGCGGTCTGTGACAGCTTAGCGGCCTCCTGCACATGGGGGCCCCTTGCCGTGCCCCGTGGCCGTCGCAGGCAGCATGGCTTGAGGATGGACGGCGGGCCTGGGCGGAGGGGCCCAGGCCTCTGAGGCTCGACGTCGTGAGCAAATCTTGACGCGGAACAAAGCCGTCCCCTCGCCATGTCGGAATCATTCGGCGCTTCAGCCTGAGGCCTTGGCATTGTTGGAGGACGCTTTATCGCGCACAGGCTCCTGATTCAGCATCGTCTCATCCCCATCCCTACAGTCAGGGGATTGTTGCTGGTAGCGAGATGTTGAATGAGCGTACCGGGCAGATGTTGGTCCAACGTGTTTTTTCAACCTCATGGAATAGGTAGCCGCTTTGGCTCCAGTGGCGCGCTTTCAGAGAGCGCCATGAAGTTATGTAATTGGCGGATTTCCGCTGTGGGCCAGCGACCGACGACCGAGATGACGCTGACCGACGACGCCGACCGACGACGGCCGACCGACCGACCGACCGACGACCGACGACGCCGACCGACCGACCGACTGACCGACCGACCGAAACAACTAGGACAGACGACGACCGATCGACCGACCGACAGCGACCGACCGACGGACAGACGACGACCGATGACGACCGACGGACCGACCGACGGACAGACGACGACCGACGATGACGATCGACGGACCGACTGACCGACAAACGAGCGCGCGGACTGACCCAGTTTGGGGACCTGGCGTGGATACAAAGCTAGGACCCCCCCTGGCCCATCCCCCCGGTCCCCGTGACTAACTCATAGATTCGAGATTGCAGCTCGGGCGTTTCAGCCGCCCACGCGTGGAATCCAGCCATGCAATTTACCCAGCGCGAGCGTTCCAGCTGCAAACGGCTTGGGCTCCAGCCGTGCACTTCTACCGAGTGGGAGCGCTCCAGCCGCCCACGGCGTGGGCTCCAGCCACGCGTTTTTACCCAGCGCGAGCGCTCCAGCCTCACACGGCGTTGGCTCCAGCCATGCATGTCCACCCATGCATTGTTACCGAACGCAAGCGTTCCAGCCGCGCATTTTGCAGCCATGCATTCGTACCCAGCGCGAGCGTTTTCAGCCGCACACGGCGTGGGTTTCAGGCATGCGCTGTTGCCGAGCGATAGCGTCCCATCGCTGCAAACTCTCACAGAGTCCACTGGCTGAACTGGGCCATTTTACTTCAGACCCCACCAGCTTCCCCCCCGCCAGGTAGGAAGGTGTACCGCGAATGTCGAGCCGATCACCATGACATATCCGCACCTAGGGGGGCAAGTTGGCTAATTGAACCATGGCCATGCCACTGGGTATGGGTTTCGGTTCTGTGATGCTCACGGGCGGGCACACGCGGTGGCAGAAGTGGTCTAGAAGAGACGCCGTTAGACCCTTGTGCACGTGGAGCGTGATCTGTGCAGGTACCTGGTGAGAGACAGCTGGCCTCCGTACGGACCCCGCGCCCTGAGAACCCATACCTCCTCGCGGTTCGAAGCATATCATTGGCAAGGAGCCGATCATTTGCAAGGGATTTTGCCACAAAGGGTCTTCGGTGGAGCACATCACGGGGCCCCGAAACGTGTGAGGGGTTTGCCGAAATGAGCGGCGGGAGCGCCTGATAACTTTGCCGCCTCTGGGGCCTTCGGTGGAGTTCCATCCGAAGCCACGGAACGTGCGAGGGGTGCGAGTTTCCATCGGTATGCGCCATCGCGGCCGCATCAGCTGCGCCACACCAGCTGGTCGCTCTGCGCGAGAGCGTGCGGGTGCCAGCGCCGCCAAAGAGTCGTGCCAGCAAGCTCCAATCGGGAACCGCAATCGTGGCCGAATGGCTTTTACCGAATAAGTTACGAGTAGGAGGGTGAAAGGTTCGCGCGAGCGGAAGGGGTTAACGACTTCCATACGGTCGAAGTTGGATCCCACCCATCAACTTCACCCCAAATGCTGCACCCTGGGATTACACTGTACATTCTGAACTGTGCACTATAGATTACACTTCATATGCTGCACAGAGTCATGTGATCCCTCAGCTCACAGATGCTACGCACGGCGGCTGCAATATTCACGTTAGGTTGCAATGTTGCTCAATGCGTTTTTGTTTGATAGCGTTGCTACCTATACGACAACCCTTCGGGTGATAAGGAGGTTGGGGGGGAATCAACGTCTCACCCGATCGGTCTCACTATCGATCTCATTATCGATCTCACTATAGGGTTCGCTCGATCGATCTCAATCGATCGATCTCACAATCGATCTCACTCGATCTTGTTCATTCGATCGATCGCACAATCGATCTGGGTATCGATCTCACGATCGATCTCAATATCGATCTCACAATCGATCTCACATTCGGTCTCACTATCGATCCCACAATCGATCTCACAATCGATCTCACAATGAAAGTCATCATCATCATCAACATCATCGTCATCAACATCGGGGCTCCAGCATCATCAGCATCATCAGCAACATCATCATACAGCGACTTGCTGGCATTTGTGGGCTTGCATGTGGCCGCACCTCCTTGCTCAAATTCTTGAGGGAATGCAGGCGTTGTTCGAACGCCTCACGCACGATCTCGCCAGTGCCCTCTCCACCGCTCTCATTGTCCGAGGCAGTTCGCCTCCGTGCCCCGCCTGCGATTGCGTGTGCTCGCCTGCGCTGCATTGTCCAGCGCTGGAGTGTCGCTGCCCAGACGGCTTGGGTGCGGTGACCGCCGCCCCCTCGGAGGCCGAGGCCTCGGGCTTCTTGGGCGCCGCGCTGGGCACCTCGCTGCTCCTCGGCGCGCTGGGCGGCTGGTCACTCGCCCGCTGGGCCTCGCGCGGCGCGGCGCCCTCGACGCGGGGCAAGCCGTTCGCGCTGGAGGCGGACGTGCGCCCGACCGACCTGGCAGTGGAGGCGGCAGCGCAGGCTGCTCGCTTTCGCAGAGCGTAGTCGTGATGGCGACGCCCGCCGCTGGGCAGTTCCACCTCGCGAGGTACAACGTGGGCGGCCCTGCGACCTACCACGAGCGGCTGACGCTGTTGCCTGGGTACATCCTCACGCCCGACGGCGATGACTATGCCGAGGTCGCCGTCCCGAATCCCGACATCCGACCGATTCGCATTCTCAGTGGCCAGGGTGAGGGGCTGCCAGGGGTACCGCCTCAGCATCTATATCAGTTTGGGCAGCTGCCTCGGGCTGCTGAGGCGTGGGCGGCCCTCCGCCGCGCGACGGCCCAGGGGTTCGGAGCGACGTCTGCGTCGCCGTTCTGCATCGACCTGCGCGCCACCAGCGTGCTGGGATTGGCCGCTGGGGCGCTGCCTCTCCCCGACCCTGCAGCCATCGCGCTTGGCGCGGGCGCTGGAGCCCTGGCGCTTGCGGGGGGTCTCGGGTTGCCAGGCGGCGCCTTCCCCGCGGCGGGAGCCCCGCCGGGTGCATGTGCCGCCGCCGCGCTGCCCGCCCTCGGCGGCCCTGCAGATGCTGGACCCCCCGCTGGAGCTGGTGGTGTTGGCGCCCTGGCGGCCGCCCTCGGTGGCGGAGGGGCTGGGGCGCCCGCCGCCGCGGCTCCAGTGCCTGGCGGCGCGCCCGCCGCCGCTGCGCCGCCTCTCGTCGGAGACCCGCGGGCGATGGCGCTGGTGCTCGACGGCCGCGGCTTTCGGGACATCACTTGCAGCGACGCGGCGAAGCTGCAGACCGAGACGGTGAGGGCCGACTGGCCCGTCAAAGGCCCTCGGACATTGCTCTGGGTCCTTGGTTTCATGCCACGCATGGCTGGTGGTGCTATGGCATGGCACAACATGTGGATTGCGATGGCTCAGCTGGGAGAGTCCGACGAGAGCGCGAAGCTCCATGAGACGTTGTGCCGCGTCATAGAGACCGCCCTCTGCCACGACCAGCCGGTGATATGCGAGCTGGCCTCCTTCGAGCACCTCGCCCGCCAGCTTCAGTTGGTGGGGGAGCGCGCCTTCGAGGAGCGCGCGCGCAGGAGCCAGCCCGTGCCGAAGGCCAAGGCTCAGGCCAAGGAGCTCGCGGCGGCGGACTTCGGCTCCGAGGTCGGCCACTTCCACTTCCTCGGCACTGGAGAGACGAAGGGGAACTTGTGCATCTGTCCTGCTTTGATGGATTGGATCGCCGATCAGATAAAGATGGAAGCAGCTGTCGCGAAAGAACGCCGCAAGGCTCGTGAGGAGCGAGCCTTGCGGGCGCCATGACACCCCCTTCAGGGCCCTGGCCAGGAGGGGCCTCACGAGCCTGTTCCCGTCTCTCGTGAGCCTGGCCAGGATTGCCCAGAGGCCCTCGTGCCCCCGCCTGGTCTGGACGCGCCCATACGTGGTGCCGATCGCCAGCGCGACGTTGTTCCGCTACCTCTTCTTCCTGTGGATGGGCGCCGCCATCTTCCGCTGGGCCGCGCTGCTCGTCCGCGCGCTGTCAAAGGCGCGGGCTGGCGCGAGTGGCGCAACGAGGGGTTCACCGCTCTCAACTGGCTCCATAGCCGCCGCGGCGCGGAGCACCTCCCGCAGGTCGGTGGCGACCCGCCCGCCGTGCAGGCTGCCTCGGTGGACTACCTCTCGAGCCTGTATCGGGGGTTCGAGCTGCCTGCCGCCTACTCGGAGAGGAGCAGCGCTTGCGAAGCATCCCTGGTAGAGATGCTCGCTCAGGCTCCTGGCTACGCTGGTG